TGAAGATGAATTATTACAATCTGACTTTGCCACAGCCACAAGTTGGTCACTTGCCACTAATGTGTCAGTCAATTCTGATTATATTCAACATGAACCAAACCCATGTGGGGAGTGGCTGGATGCCCAGCACAATCTGATAAACTATCGGATATGCCAATACAGTATGACGCAAATGATGAAGAGGATGAGTCAGTGGATATACCAGCACCAGATCATACCACTGAGGATAATCAAACCCAGTTTGTATCAATACAGCTGATGGATACTACGCCCAGATGTTTACCACAGCAGTGTGCAATACCAGTACAGAGTGATGCGCCTGCAGACATACCAGTACAGAGTGATGCGCCTGCAGACATACCAGTACTGAGTGATGCGCCTGCAGACATACCAGTGCAGAGTGATGCGCCTGCAGACATACCAGTACAGAGTGATGCGCCTGCAAACATACTTGCACAGAGTAATGATACTACAGACACAATAGTAAAGAGTGATGCACATATAGACATACAAGTGCAGTCTGATGCGCCTATAGACATACAAATGCAGTCTGATGCGCCTATAGACATACCAGAACAGAATGATGCACCTATAGACATACAAGTACAGGGTGATGCACCTATAGACATACCAGCACAGAATGATGCCCCTATAGACATACCAGCACAGAATGATGCACCTATAGACATACAAGTACAGTCTGATGCGCCTATAGACATACCAGAACAGAGTGATGCGCATATAGACATACAAGTACAGTCTGATGCGCCTATAGACGTACCAGAACAGAGTGATGCGCATATAGACATACAAGTACAGGGTGATGCACCTATAGATATACCAGGACAGAGTGATGCGCCTATAGACATACCAGAACAGAGTGATGCGCCTATAGACATACCAGTACAGACTTATGGGCCTATAGACAAACCAGAACAGAGTGATGCTTATATATATATATATATATATATATATATATATATATATATACCTGAACAGAGTGATGTTAGCCTATATATAGATATATCAGAACAGAGTGATAGCCTATATATATATATATATACCAGAACAGAGTGATGCGTTATATATATATATATATATATATATATATACCTGAACAGAGTGATGCTCCTATATATATATATATATATATACCTGAACAGACAGCTGCACCTACAGATGGTCGTCGTGTGAACTGGTTGTCAATGTGCTGGATGCGCTACATTAAAGGCAACCCAGAAAACATCTTCAAGTCTGAGCACAGCAATGAGCCATTCAGAGAACTAAAAGTGTCTACAGGCAGCCATCGGGGGAAGACCTCAGAGTATCTGTGGACCTCTGACCCGAAGGTACTCGGGAAAACAAGCAATTTCCTCAGCCAAGAAAAAAGATCTCATGTCACTCTGTCGGTCGGGTATTATACCCAGAGAGTATCACAACTATTACAAAGAACTCCTGGCAGATGCTGACAAAGTAGAATGCCTCCCCCTTCCTGACGCCTTGGAGCAGGATACAGACACCGATACAGACTAAAGCTACGACACTGAAACAACAGTCGTTGCTTTGTGCTATTACATGGTGTATGTTATAATATGATTGTGGACATGGGTGAGGATAGTGTAATAATCATAGTGTCATAGTCTGGTTTTATATATTTCTTAGTCACTTTCATTCAAATGGCATGCCATGTTTCCAAGAGCATGTTATGTTGTATTATTTCCTGACTCCTCATTTACTGTAAAGTGTTCTGCTATATATTTCCTCATTTTGCAAATTTAACTTGCACACATATTTCACACAAATCACTTTTTTCCACCAGACCACAAAGTTATGTAAACCTTTTCCTATAAGTTATTTAACAAGTTTAAAGAGTATGAAATAGTGTTAAGAGGTGGATATCAATATTAATTCTCAATTCAAAAAATGACATTTACATTTTGAGACGTCATCAAATCATTAACGAAAGGAAATACTACTCATTATTATATCTAACATGTCACATATCTAACATGACATATCTATGTCATCAAATACCTAATGTGATTATTCAGTGTTCTATCTAATCTGTGTGATGTAATCTTGATTCACTTATACCAGACTTAATTTTTAGTATCAAAAGTCTTTAGCCTTCATCTATGTCATAGTCTAGCGTCATAGTTCTATTAAGTTTTATCATCCAAAACTGTGTTCCACAGGAGACATTGCTTGTGTGATATGATATGACGTCATGAACTTGATGACGTCACATGAAGTACATTTTTCATTGAAAGCTAAGGAAGAGTGATTTTTTATGATAAATAGAATCTCACCCTCGTGTCTTCTGATATTAAATATATCAACACTCGTTGATCAAAGTAAAATATCGGCAAGCCTCGGACATTTGTTACTTTATCAACTCGTGGTGATATATTTGATATCAAAAGACACTCGGGTAAGATACTCTATATACCGAGCGGCTTAAATTATTACTCAGATCGTTACATTTATCCCTAATTTGACTTAATATGCAATGGGCTTATCTGTGGTTGCGTATTATGTGTATGTTTGTGACTGTGCTTGATTTTCTTCTGTTCAGTAGTTTGAAACTATACTGTTTATGAATTTCTGTTTACATGTAATATAATATTGAAATAGTTAAAAATACTGAAACACTTACAATGTCTTATAGTAATTGGTTTTATTCTTCAATAAAGAAGTACACGGTAATGATGCATTGTGGAACTATGTTGAAAGTATTGAGACGCTGTTGTCATCTAACAGAAAAGTCTAAAAGAAAGTCTTGAAGGTGGTTTAAGCAATTACTGATGTCTTCAGTGATAACAACATGTGAAGATAAAATCTCACAAGCACAATTTAAGGTGAGCTATAAGTAAAATGCATTCAATAACAGAAAGGCAGTTACTGCTGGTTAATGGTTCCAGCCACCAGCTGAGAGTGTGGGATACTGCCTAAAGCAGCTTTACCGCAGGATATGGTTACAGGGCTTAGAGGAAACAGTGGTTGGCTGGCTGTGATGATATGGGTGATCTTGAGATCAGGTGTCATTGCTTTTAGTTGGCTTCCGCATTGATACAATTGTTGGGGCAAAGATAATGCTCCCCGAGTTAGTGGAAACTGCGACACAGGGAAATCCGGATTCTTGACTCGGGGACAGACATATTCTCAACATATTCTTAACTGCCATACACTGTGTTTCTAATTTAACTGGTTCTCGCTCTCATGTTTACAGAGCCCAGAGTGTTTTACATTTACACCAGAACACACACAAGTTTATTTTCGTCATACTTATTTAATTAGGCTGATTATATTTATGGTTGTATAGTAACATGAATGCACCAGCATACTCTGTCACCTACTCACAAAACAGTAAACAAGAATTGATTATTGTTTTTTTTTATAACTGTCCAAACATTTGAGTGCTGTTTCTCGAAATGTGCCTGTGTGGTTATAAGTGGTTCTGGCTCTAACCCCTCGACTTATTCATGACACATAATATACATTGCTGATTATGAAAAACATATAAACAAAATTATAAGCGTGCAAATCAAAAGTGCAATATTGTGTACTTCGGTTTACTTCCCAAGAAACGAAGCAGCCGGGATACCGAACCCAGTCAGAGCGGGTGGGTGTGCACTCAAGTGCAACGGCTTGTTCATTTGCAGATGCCCTCACTGCTCATTGTGTGTGTATATATAGAGATGTTGGGTTTTGTAAATACACGCCCATTTTTTTGTGTATAACATTTTGCAATCAACAGACATCATAACATGTTGTGTACAAGTATCACACCTGCCTGTCTGTGTAATTACATAATGTGACAGAGACCGAACTCGGGCCATAAATCAATGCGTTTTGTTTATGGTGTATAGCCTGATAGGTGTTAAGTTCAAATTGCATGTCAGTGATCGAAGTTGTGTATTTAATATTGTCATTAGCAGACAGGCAGGCAGACACATATAGGTGTCAATAAAACAGACATTGAGTTTTGTCTGTGACAACGACATATCTATATCACAGTTAGAAATTCTGTCAACGCTAAATAATGACATTGCTTTTAACTGAGAAAGGGACTCGGTAAGAAGAATGCGTGGTGAAATAGACAAATGAAATTATATAAACAGTTAAATCGGTAATCTACTGTCATAACATATAAAAAGCTCGCGCCTGTGAAATATCAACAAAACATTAAAAAAATAGCTCACATCAAAGCTTTCACCGAGTATTCACCGGACAACCGCTTCCAAGCTGCGTGAACCTATTTCACTGCGCATGTGCTATGAGCGCAGCCCAGCTGTTGAAACCACTTTTCCCCCAAGCGCTTGGGGAAAATTAGTGAATCATTTGAACTCCGATTTCACGCTGTTTTTTTTCTTCATCGCATTATTTTCAACTTTATAGTTGAATTTGCATTTTTGATGATTTGTTTCGGTAAGTCCATACCGAAAGGTGTCAGAATCTGCAAAGTTGTGTTTTAAGTTGCATGTGACCTTTAAGGAAATCAAAGGAAGGCAACTAAATCTGTTTGTTGTTGAACACCTCACTCAGCTGTTTTCCAGCTATATGATGGCGGTTTGTAAATAATGGAGTCATGACCAGACAATCCAGTAAATGACATGATGAGCATCGATCTACGCTATTGGGATACTATCACATGCCCGCTAGTCTTACAAGCATGGGTTGCTGAAGATCAATTCTAACCCAGATCTTCACGGGTCCTCATATCAGGACTTACTGACTGGAGAAAGAATAGTATGGTTTAGTGGCAAGTACCATAGATGACCCACCTGAGTATGGTTCTGGGCCCCATTTCACAAAGCAATCGTAGCGCTAAGTAACTCCCATACTTTAAGTTCAACATAGACTTACGACAGTCGTAGCACTACAATTGCTTTATGAAATGGGCCCCTGGAAGGTAGCCAGCTAATACAAAAAGTACGAAGACACTGGTGTTTCCAGTATATCCCGATTTAACAAATTAGACATAAAAGAAATGACAAAACTTTATGCTTGAAATATTGTTTATTTCTTTATCACAGACACAGTTTGGTTTGATAAATACAGTATATCAAGGTGTACATCAACAATATTAAACCTTGTCACGAAAAGGTACAACAAACTTTTGACATGGCGTCAGAATTGTTCTACATCTTAGGGACCAATCACTTGGAAGAAATTCACACAAACTACAGCCTTTAGTCTTGGAGACAGTTTTGTCTTTTTCTAGAAATTCACCTGGACTATTTAATCTGATTTAAGAGGAGCCATTTTGCACTCAGAGACACTACAGAAAGAGGGGAAGTTGATGATGGCTGCCAGTGATAGTTTAATTTTGCTTCCATTTGTTAGATTGCTGTTTTTGATTATGTGATCAGTATTTGATTTGGCACAAACAACTATGGCAAAAACATCAGCAACTCTGACAATAGCATATTTGTGACACTGTTACTAGCACTCTTATGTCACATTGTATCATTAACTTTCACATCTGATATAGACCAATGATTGTTACTTGATTTGGGCCATTTTCTTAATATATGCTCTCTGATATTCCATATTCTTCCTCATGGCATCAATTCGTTCTTCATCTGACAGTCCTACCCTTCCATACCATGCCCCTTGCCACATGGGATGATAGGGGGCGGGGTAGCAGGCAGGTGGGTAGGGGTAGGGATAATAATGGGGTGGGGCATAATACTCAGGGGGATACCAGTAGGGGTGGGGATGGTAGTAACCCCATGGGTTTCCCCACAGTTGAGACCAAGCATCATATGGATAGTCGGACATGTTGGGTTCGAAATCTTTACTGCCCCACCCCTGGTCACCATATTGCACATTTGTAGTGTCATGTTCATCAAACACGTACTGATTATCGTAGGGCAAGTAATCGGCATCATATCCTGAGGAGTAATGATCAGAATGTCTCCTCTGGTTTGTTCTCTCATGTGTATTACCATACTGAGAATCTCTGAACAGTGGGTCGTCAACATAGTTATTCCTGAACACTTCTCGGTCGTATTCTGAACTTGAGCTGGAGGAGTCCGTGTCCGAGCTGTCCGTGTCTCCCTGACTGACGAGATCCTCTCCAGTCACGTACATCTGGTCAGGGAGATGTCGTCCACACTTCCTGCCATACTCAAGCCCATCCAGATCGGCCATTATCTTCCCTTTCCTTGACCTTGGTCTACAGTCCCTCATCAGCTCGTCCTCAACTGTGATGGCATCTGCTGTCAAACTGATCCTCCCTACTCCTCCAGACACATACATCAACTCACAGTCACTCCTCGTCGCTATATTCGACACAGCGTCCTGTTGAACCTTACTTCCAACACTGTTCTCATTCACAGATAGATTACTGACTTTGATCTTATATGGCCTCTTCTCAACCAAAACATGTTCATCCTCTTTGGAACAGCTCTTACCAACTCCTTTCAGATTTGCTTGTTCATAATCTGCATTTGTATCTGGAATGTGTGTATCTCCCTTTAACTCTTCAACACAAACCGAGGGACTTTCTTTGTTACCAGAGACATTTTGTGACAAATACAGTTTGTTGTTATTTGCAGTAAGGTCAAGGTCAACCATGGCAAGAGAGGACACAGACATTGGATGATACCGAACTGACTTCGGTTTCTGGTTGACCTTTTGAGCAGGTGATATTGTTTGTGTAGTTTGGCTGCACATCTGAACTCTTGACACCTGCATCACATCGACGTCTGCTGCAGCATCTCTAGCACTTTGATCTGACATGTCAGGATTGTCTCCCCTTAGCTGTGGCTTGGACAGAGCACAATCATATATCTTGTCTATGCAGTCTGCAACACTCCTCACGAAATCTGTTCCTGGAGTTGAATGTTTCTTTTCAAGGTCAATATTCCTTAAAATAACTTCAGGAATATTCAACATTTTACCACTTTCACCCTTTTCTAAGAACTTCTCATAATCAACAAGCGCACTGCTGTAAGTGTGTGGCTTTGCCAGGTTTTTCCCACCGAGAGATTCCCTGTAGCTTGGGATTGTTAACTCAACCTGGCCGATAGTTCTCGTGCCAACTCCCTGCCTGTTGGCTAATGATGCTTTCATGTTTGTTGTTGCATCACTGTTGGTAGTAATGCTACATGTTTGTCCATTTATCTGAGTAACCATGGCAACACATTTTTCTTCATTTGAAGGATCTGACGGAAATTCCTTGATAGAATCACTATTAACTTTCCTCTTTCGACATTTCTTTGCTGTCTTTATCTTCCTTCCATTTGATAATATATTTGTTCCAGAATCATTCAACTTGGTATGATCGAACTTTTGATTAATATTGCAATCACTCACTCTCTGTTCACTGTTGTCTAAATCATGTTTGTTGTTATCAGATCGACCACATGTGCTATTCATGACTTGTATATTCTTGTTTGTCACACTGTTCTCTTGTAGAGTCATGGGAACCATTCCAAGTTCAACTGTATTACTTCGGTGTTTGGCAACAAGGTCTCAGACACTGCATTTTCTGAACATTTCTTTGGATGCATATCGGACACTGTTTTCATTTCTGTCATTATCAATGAACCTTTGCCAACATTCTCCTGTGATCCTTTTGAGATATTTGAAGAATCCTTATCAGAAATTACCCCGGGATATTGCGTACAAATATTCTCACTCCTTGTATCCTCACCATCATCTATGCCTCCTCCAACACGTCCATTGACTAAATTCAGGTCCTCTCCATCAGTATTCTGCTTCCCATCTTCAATATCCTCCAACCTTCTGTCCTTGACCGGACTTTCCTCGCTTGTCACAGGAAGGTCACATGACCTCGTCCCTGTGTCTGGCCTGGTGATTAGTTGCTCTGTACTGACCATGTCATCCAGGTTGATCTGGACGGTTGCTCTCAGCAGATCCACCGGAAGAGGGTCTGTGTGTACACAGTAGCAGAGTGTTAATGTATAATTGTACAGTACAAAAATAAATCCTTTTACATCCTTAAAACCGTATCCAGGCTATTTTTGGTCTTTTCGTTAATTTCACACTGAAGGCTTTCTTGATTGGAAGATATTCAAACACAAAGTCTTGTGTCGAGTATTTGAAACTTGTAGACACGCAACACTGTCTTACCCCTTAGGGAACTGGGGGCCAAGGGGTAGACTAGAGATTAAAGCGTTCTCTCAGAAGACCCGGGTTCGATTCCCCACATGTCCCATGGGATGCATGATAATATTCAAAATTTGTGACAAGAAATATAAAGTTCATGTTATCAAAGTATTAATCAAACCTTTAATAAATTGACAGCACAGTCATATTACACAAATGGGGGCGGTGGGGTAGCCTAGTGGTTAATGCGTTCGCTCGCCACGCCCAAGACCCGGGTTCGATTCCCCACATGTGTGAAGCCCATTTTTGGTTCCCTTGCCGTGATATTGGAATATTGCGGCATAAAACTAAACTCAGTCACTGAGGAAACAGAGTATCTGAGCTTTGATTGTCTTACCTGGCAGGCTGTTGATGTGAGTGTTACATTTCCTCTCCACCGCGGTCAGACCCAGCTGCTCCTGCCCTTCACTTACCACTGTCACCGCAACACCGTATGACCCTGCAACGCATACAACATACATCGTGAATGAATGTTGTTTTATGCCACAGAAAGTAATCTTAAGTGAGTGAGTGAGTTTAGTTTTACGCCGCACTCAGCAATATTCCAGCTATATGGCGGCGGTCTGTAAATAATCGAGTCTGGACCAGACAATCCATTGGTCAACAGCATGAGCATCGATCTGCGCAATTGGGAACCGATGACATGTGTCAACCAAGCCAGTGAGCCTGACCACGCGATCCCATTAGTCGCCTCTGACCACAAGCATGGGTTACTGAAGGTTCATTCTAACCCGGACCTTCACGGGTAAGTAATCTTAAGAAAAAACATAGAAGAGGGTTGGAAGTTTACAATTTTTGACCTGGCTGATTGTATTCTGAAGGATTATTGCGAGGATCATTGGTCACATCAACCACTGGTTGGCCTCGCCTTCACTCAATTCGGATATGGCTTTGTATACTGCAAAATGTGGTTGATAACAACTTCCACTCACTTTCTATGTGAAAGGATTATCTTTTCTGTATATGACAGCTGTCTGTCAATAATTGAGTCTGGACCAGACAGTCCAGTGATTGACATCATGAGCATCAATCCATGCGATTGGGAAATGATGACGTGTCATCCAAGTCAGCGAGTCTGACCACCCGATCCTGTTAGTCGCCTCTTACGACAAGCATGGGTGCTGAAGATCAATTCTAAAACAGATCTTCATGGGTAAGGCAGCTAAATGTGTGTAAGGTCTGACATTGCTTTAAGCCATATTCCAGCAATATCATCACGAGGGACACCAGATATGGACTTCACACACTGGGAGACACATGTGTTCTCTGGAACATGTATTGATGGCATATTGAATGAATGAGTTTAGTTATACGCCGCTTTTAGCAATATTCCAGCAATATCACAGCGGGGGACGCCATACATGGGGTTCACACATTGTGGGGAATCGAACCCGGGTCTTCGGCGTGAGGAACGAGCCCCACCGCCCCGATGGCATATTGAGTGTTGTCAGCTTTCTAAAACTGAGTTCTGAACATTACAACCACGATTAGCTTGTTATAATTCCATCAGATTCAACATTTTTCTCATGGGGAACTTTATACTGACCAAATCGACCTGCTCTCCCCGATGCGATGAAGGTAGGTCTCGTGGTCCCGTGGGACATCAAGGTTGATGACCAGGTTGACTTTATCGGCATCTATACCACGAGCTGTCTGCAGAGGGAAAGAAGTGCAAAATCATCCTAAACTTTCCACACAACCTACAAGTTTAAATATCCAGAAATGAGCGAGTGAGTTGAGTTTTACGTTGCTTTTAGCAATATTCCAGCAATATCAAGGCGGGGGCACCAGAAATGGGCATCACACATTGTACCCATGTGGGGAATCAAACCTGGGTCTTAGTCATGATGAGCGAACACTTTAACCACTTGGCTACCAACCCGCCCCAGCAGAAATGACAATGGCACAGTGAAAATTTTACAACATCTGTTTGTACTTGCAAAACAACTTATCAGACTGTCCTCATCAGTATACAAGTGACCCCTAAATGAATACTACTCAACATTGTGTGGGTGGATATTTTGAATACTTCATGCTAAAGTGACAATAATTTGTATGACATCCAGATTTCAGTGTCATCATTACAAAATGTGTGATATTTGAGATTTGCTACCACTCACCAGATCTGTGGAGATGAGAACACGACACTTGTAGGTTTTCAGTTTGGCCATGGCCTCGATCCTGTCTTTCTGATCATGGCTGCCAGCAATACAGGCTGTCGGCCACCCCTGTCTCTGTAGTTCATCAGACAGGTTCTGAGCTCTGCATATTAAAATCCAGATTATTGCTAACTAAGGTTTCTGTTAGTAATCACAAGTTTATTACTGGTAAACTTTAATAAGGGATTGGTATGCCAACATGTTTTGATTTTAACACTAGTGTGGGAGTAAGCTCATCAAGCTGTAGGTATCTGCTGTGACAAGATAAAAGTAAAAGCTAAGATTAGGCTGTATACTTTCAAAGGTTCTGAGAAGCTTACACTGATCCATTGACTGGGCTAACAATCATATGTAGCCAGAATGTTTTCAGGCACTGACACAATGCCACATCATCATCATCATCATCATCATCATCATTATTTACTGTAGTACATAGCTGTGACAAGAGTACAGACATTTCAACTGCTGTGGCAATACCTGGTCTGTAGATTGGAGAAGATGAGACACTGCTGGAAGCTGACGCCCGAGAGAATCTCAATGACAGCCTTTGCCTTGGCCTCAAATGCCAAGTTAGCCATGGGACTGTAGGGCACACTCTTGTAGTACTGACGAATACCTATAACAAATATATATATAACTAGCTTTACATTGTCAAGGCAACACAAATATATTCTACACAAAAAAAGCATTAACCAATACTCTATGAATATCCTATGCCTATTATAATTACCTTTACACCTATCATTATCATACCAGCTATTAGCATTTTAAAAATACATGCTTTAAATCTTTATTATGTTATTTCTCTTAAATAATCTATTGCAATATGGTGCCATGTGCGTAGTGTTAGGTATTTCTTTTTATAGTCTCGTCTGATCTTTCCCATCTGATTTAAAATTGCTTAACAAATAACAACAAAAAATACACTCACCTAGAAGTGCCGGATCCGAGATATTGAGTCTCATGAATGTTGGGTTCCGCATGTAGCGTGTCAGATGTTGTGCAAGGGATTCTGGGTAAGTGGCCGACAAAGCCAACATTTGTTTGTTGTCAGGTAGTGCTGAATAGATCCAGCTGAAATAAGATGCAGCAGCCATAAAACAATAATCGGGATGCCATATAGTGACATGTATTCAAATATGGAATTTGAGGCCCTGCTGGAGATTACTCAGGCAATAAATCAATTACATTTAATTTTAAAACAGCGTAGGAAAGTAGACATTAAAACCAAATGCCAGCAACAATGCTGGGGAATTACAACTGGGTTTACCATGATAACAATCACAACCACATAAGATTAAATTAGGCTTTTAATGGATATCTGTTCATATTATTTCTGTCTTCAATGAAACTGTAAATAAAATGCCATTTCTTACTTGATTTGTTCCTGGAAACTCTCTTCTAGAAGTTTATCAGCCTCGTCTAGCACAAATAGTCTAACACTCTCAGTTTTCATCAAGTTTGTCTGGATCAGCTGCTTAATACGACCTGGAAAACAGACAACCATAAGCACCACTAGACGATTCAAGTAACATATTATCTAAGACCCATGAAGATCTGTGTAAAAACTGGTCTTCAGCAACCATACTTGTCGTAAGACTAAGAGGCAACTATTGGTATCGGTTGGCCAGGCTGACTTGGTTGAAGCGCATTATTGTATCCCAATTGCCTATATTGATGCTCATGATGTCAATCACTGGTCTGTCTAGTTCAGATGCAATTATTTACAGACCACAATCATATAGTTGGAATATTGTTGAGTGTCGTGATAAACAACACAACAAACAATATGATATTATCTAAATACATACAACTGAATTACTGACTTTTCTCTTAATTGACTATTTCATAACTTGTGATGATAACAGCTAAAACATATTAATTTTTTTTAAATACTCCATGTTTGTGTCTACTCCCAAGGTTACCACAGTGACATACATTTTCATGTTCGTGAAGATAATCTATTCAAAGGTAAGTTTCTACACCTGCAGAGACTGAAGTTCTGAAGAAATGCTTTCACATCATAATACTGACCAGGTGTTCCTACAGCAATCTGACATTGCTTCAATTTCTGTTTATCTTCGCTTAATGGTAGCCCACCAATGAAAGTGTGACATCGCAATGCTGACATGGCACTGCCAATGTTGTTGATCACATCCCAGATCTGTAAAGCAATCTCTCTTGTTGGAGCTAGGACTAATACCTGTCAACAGATACACATTAACATACATAATAATTATAATCAAAATCAAATCAGGCAATAAACATAATCAAACAATATAAAAAGACACACCAATTATTATCTTCAACATACCTGAATATGCTGAATGCATGCAAGAGACAAAATGAAATTCTCCTTTCATATGAAAACAATTTTTGTAAAATAATTTTTTTAAACAAAAGGAGATTTTTATACTTACAAAGAAACAAAAAAACGAAGGAGTCCCTTCTTGCCCTTCACCATCATATCTCAAAAGCACCACAAATACTTTAGGACCAAATGCTGTTGGAAATCACTAACATCTTTCATGAATAACCGACAATGTGAGCTTGACTTTATACATGTTATACACAGGTCACTTGCAATCTTTTCTGATTGTGACTGGCCATGATGGTGAAAGGTACCAGTACATTTCACTGACTTATAGTAAACTCTTCACGAGGTAGCAAAGCCTTTTCACACTATGGATATAATGACCTACAGGATGATGGTAAACCCATTAAAAACATTGACAATCTGATTAAATCATTAATGTTCCCAAAAGAGTCTAAAGGCATTACTTGACACAAGCATCGTATTCCTGAGATAACCAAGCACTGCATGACATAAGCAGAGTAATGGTCAATGAGACACTCACTTGAATAGCAGAGCTTTGTACTTGTATTGCTTCAAGGGCAATGACAGAAAACACACATGTTTTGCCAGTTCCTGACTTAGCTTGAACTATCAAATCTGAAAAAGAGGGAAGACACATTCAGGACTGAACTACATTCAAAATGTCCACATAATATTTACACGTCAGTGTCTGAAAATGCAATATGAATAAATGAGAAACACTTTATCTTGACCAGTTGCTCCAACAAATTCAAACTCTTGACTGTGATGAGAGCCAGTATATGACTGACATCAGACATTCAAAAATGTTTTAGGTTCTGTGATTAATCTACCAGAAGACAAAGTAAGGAAAGAAACAGCTGCCTGATGTCATTGTGAACATGTCCTTTATGAAATATCCAGTGTTGATGGAACAAGACTGAAATATATTTGTGCTACTTGTACAAATATATTTGGTTCTAAGGATCTCCTACAAGTTAAATGTGTCATTTCAAGATGAATTGACAAAGCAATGACTGCATCTGTTTTAATGTAATTAAAACAGCCATGATTATATGATGACATCTCATGACAATTTATAAAGTGAATGACAACATGACATGGTCCCAAGGATCTCCTACAAGTTAAATGTGTCATTTCAAGATGAATTGACAAAGCAATGACTGCATCTGTTTTAATGTAATTAAAACAGCCATGATTATCTGATGACATCTCATGACAATTTATGAATTGACAAAGCAATGACTGCATCTGTTTTAATGTAATTAAAACAGCCATGATTATCTGATGACATCTCATGACAATTTATAAAGTGAATGACAACATGACATGGTTCCAAGGATCTCCTACAAGTTAAATGTGTCATTTCAAGATGAATTGACAAAGCAATGACTGCATCTGTTTTAATGTAATTAAAACATCCATGATTATCTGATGACATTTCATGACAATTTATAAAGTGAATGACAACGAAATATTAATTTGTTTTACTCCACAGTAACTATACTAACTTAAACGCAACGAGCCATCATGTTAATTGAGCTTGTCATTAGGTCCTCCATTGCAAACATACGACCACACATTTATTAAAAGCACCAAAAGATTAATTCACCTAGTCCACACCGGCCCAACGGGATTGCTTTTAATTGTATTGGTGATGGCCGTTCAAACCCCGAGTTCTGGAGGCCTTGAATTACGGGCTTTGATAGCAGGAGCGAAGAAAAATCCACTTCTTCTGAAATTAATACATCTCCAGTTCGGGTTTTCTCATTTATCTTATGTGCCAAATTCATCTTGGGTGGTTATAATCTGCTGACAGAAAGAAAAACATGCAAAATCGTATCTGAAACTTTTCACATGTGCGATAAAACAACGTAATCCGCCATTTTGCTCGTCGTGCCTTTGCAAAATGTTACACGCAATTCCATTGGTCATTATGTTCCAAACAGCCAATCAATAGCAGTTTTACAGATAAAAATTCTGTATGACGTGACAACCATGTCATCTTTCTTATCGGTGTGATGATTGGACAAAAGGGCAGTTCACACACCAATGAAAATATTCTGTACTGTCACTGAGACATTTCTGTCACGTGATTAAGAGGGAGTGTGCTTCCTCAATCGGACACTTCCACTTCCTACTGGGCCGGTACTAGTTTTGTGCAAAAATGTCACATCAAACAGGAATATCAGGTAGGTTCTCGTAGCATAAAGTGTAAATTAATATATGATCGAACGATGTTTTCTTGTTTAACTACTCTGATAATGGAATTAAAACAATCGTGTTTATTTTACCTGACAACATTTGATATCAAGGTCTACGAATCTGTATGTAAATATCATACGTGTGTATATAATTTAGGTATTGATTTGATTTCAGAAGTTATTCCTTGGTCCCATTGTTAATCTGTTTCTATTGGATGGACCATAAACTTTTTCTAATGCACATGATATATTTTATCCCCAAGGACATTTGTCACTAGTTTGTTTTTAATGTTCAGACATTTCAGAAAGTTAGATTAAAATTCACTTTAATGTGATAAAACTGTCAACCGATCACAGATTGCGCCGTTAATTTCTACTATTATTTACAGCATCCAAGGGTTTGGCTGATTTCTTTGCCATTTGTAAGGATGGAAGTATTCGCTTAGTGAAAGTCTCTATTGAAGATGGTGAGTCCGTTAGCCAGATAGCACAACGCCCTTGAGCCAACGTTGGACCAACCATTGCACTAAGTTGGGCCAACGTCAGAATTCACCGTTGGGCCAACGTCTTTTTGTCCAGCTGTCCAACGTTGGCTCAACGTCGCACTCATAATATGTTGGGCCAACGTTGTCAATATGACATTATCCCACTGATGTCCCATTGTTGGGCCAGCATATCAAATAGCAAGAGCATCACCTGTAATCCACACACACATACAGAATCGTGCCATAAGTTAAGGGACAGTCATGTAATTTCCATAGACTTACATGTTAATAGGTGTCCCAGATAGCATTGATATGTTGGCCCATAGTTGGCCCATAATCAACGGTTTGGTTGGCCCATTGTTGTCAAACTGACGATGGGCCCACTTGGATATGCTCATCGGCTCCACAGTGGCCCATCATGTTGGCTAATTGTTGGGCCAACGAATGAAAATTCACACAAAACTATTGCCCATAGTTGGCCCAACTTAGTGATTTGGTTGGCCTTATGTTGGCACCACCGTGTTTCAACATTTAGCTCTTTCTTGACCTTTTGTACTAAACCATGGCCCATACTTGGCCCAACGATGTGATTTAGTTGGCCTTATGTTGGCACAACTGTATTTCAACATTTAGCTCTTTCCTGACCTCTGCAATCAGAAACATATATAAACAACACAACAAGTTAATCAAGTGAACTATTTACTTCTTTTTTTTTCATTGTTATTTGAACATTATTGTATGTCTTGAAAATATTCTTGTTTTAGGTCTTTTGGCTGTCGCCGCTGACAGTTTTTTCGAACTGCTCCTGAAAAAAACAACCCAAAAATTTCATGATACTGTCGGATATCTATCGTAAAAGGACATAGTATTTGGCCCTATGTTTTATTTGAAACATACCATGTACAACTTAATTATTGAAAACGTCTTGTTTATTGCACAGAGTTACGTTCGGATGTAGATTCTTACACTGTTACCAAGCTAAAACCAAATGATGAGAAGTATATATGCGTAGTATGTTTTGACAATCAGCAGATTGACATTAACAACAACATGTAATTGAATAACAACTGGTACATTATTGGGAGAGGCCAGATGGGGACTAAGAACAACAAATGGAATGGTGATGAAGCCAATAAACAAGGGGGGATTCAGTTGTAACAACAAGCTGATAGGGTGCTTTGATAGAGTCTATAGTTTGATTAGTTCTTCATTGGTCTGTCGTTTTCATGTGACTGCAAAATTTGGTTTTGTTGCAATTATTTGATTTTGTGTTAGTGAGCAATTCATCGGTCTCAAGTGAAATCAAACAGACTATGAGTTGGTGGGTTATTGGTTGAGGCTCGTGAAGACATGTTGTAGGTGGTTCCGCTCATGTTCTAGGTCATGGCTGCTGGAGCAATGTTCTTAGCGTGCTTGATCAGGGTTGAGATGACGCCTAACTTAGTTTTAGGGGGCTGGTTTGACAAATTCGAAATCTTATCCACCAAGAATCAGGACTGCACAAAAAGAAAACTTTTGGAAGCCATCAAAATCAGCCGCCACAAACCTTTGATCAATAGAGACCAAGGATACTACAATCCATTGGGATATGAAGAACTAATCAAACTATAGACTCTATCAAACACCCTATCAGGTTGTTACAACCTAACACCCCCACCCACCCCCACCCTCCCTTGTTAATTGGTTTCATCACTAGATCAATTTGTTGTTCTTAGTCCCAAACTGGTCAGCTCCCAATTATGTTTATTTGACAAAACATACTATGTACATGTATATATACTTCTCATCATTTGGTTGTAGTCACTTTTAGCTTGATAACGTGTAAGAATCTACATCAAACGTCAGCTTCTATACTATAAACAAGAAGTTGTTATCCATAGAGATGTATGTTTCATTTTTGACTGACCAACTTCTAGAATGCTGTTCAAACAATGTTTTATTTGGATATGACGGTAACTACTATAACTGTGACACATATATCTGATATGATGATGTTTAGCAATTATTGGCTGTAAAAGATGAATAATAGAGAGAGTTGTATATGGAAACAGGAGTGTAACTGACAAAACACATAATGTTAATAAAGTAAACACAATAAATTTAAATAATTTAAAATGAAATGAGATTTATCAAAGTGGATAAAACAGGCTACCTACAGAAAAGAGTCAATTAAATCTTTTATCTACTCAATCAATTGCCTTTCAGTGCGGTATGTGTCACTTTCTTTAGCCTAAATGATGATTATAATTAATTATTTCCACAATATATTTGCAATTCAGTATCACAGAAATAACAATGCATATTTACCAGTTGAAGGCCTCCAGAAATGTAGTGTCGCTTTCTGCTCTTTGAATATCAGGTAAAGCTATCAATGATGACAAGTTTGGTATTCAATTTGGAGAAAACAATGCTGTAATATTCACTTTATCATAGTTAAAAAACAGGGAAATGGATTCTTTCTTTTTGTCTGTGTAATTATTTGAACTTTCATCAAAATCTTTATAAGAAAACATGGCTAAAAATGGCCGTGTGCTCACTCTTTTATTCACAATGTTGGGCCAACGGTGGCCCAACTTTGTGAAATAGATGAAAGATCAGGGAACATAGGCAGAGTTTTTCAAATGTTGGCCCACTGTTGGACCAACGTGTCAAAAGCCACGGTTACTTTTAAGTCATTAAGATAACGTTGGGCCAATGTTGTCAAACTGTTGGCCAACCAACCAACCATATACCAACATTGGCCCAACACACCTTTGCTATCTGGGTGTAGCATAAATAATTTTTATGAATTCTATTCTGGTTGGATCAATGTGAATTTTTGCAGGTAGATTTGAAATTATCCCAGCTCGAAGTGCATAATTTCAATTCAATTATCTGACAAGTAATGACATCATATTTACCAACGTATATGTACGTTTTGTAAAGGCCATGCCCCATAAACAGCCATGTTAAATGATTATATACAACAATGCATATATGTTTATTACATTATTGTCAATCGAAATTTAAACAGAAAATTAAACAGATATTATGTGGTTGTAACTCAGATGATTCCTCACAAACATGCAAAGTTTTATTAGGATTCTATGAAAATTAAATTCATTAAAATTATTTATGCTACACCAAATTAACATGGAAATGTCGCCATTGTCCGTTAACTTATGGCACGATACTGTACATATTTCACTTATCCACTCCTGTAGCGTTTGTGCTTGTTTATAACAAAACTTGTACATAGATTCTATCCACAATCTCATTAATAGCAGATCTTAGACTGGCTCCCTAGGTTCACTACACAAGATCTGAGGAAGCTCATATAGGCGGGTTGTCCGCGTGAATTTTGTACAGGAAATGATACTTACTCACTTGGATAACGTTCGAAGGCACTTTCACGAAGTTCAAAGTATATGTTTGGTTGGTCAGATTAAAACTTTTGCTGGACAAGCTAACTGTGCCAGGATCTTGTGGTCATGGGTTATAATCTCTGAACTGCATTCTTGATATATAAGTACCATATGGGCTTCACCAAATTGATTATGTCTGTGACCTTGGTAACTGTGGACTTTCATCCATTTACAATCAACGCAATAAATCAATCAATACAATCAATCAATCAATACAATCAGTCTTATAATTTTCAGTTTTTTGTGATATAACAGTTATTGGACCAGATATTATACTGTTATATCCAGTGTTCATAGGAGGACCATGCTCGTCATTCTTGTACCCACTTCTGGGTTTCGTCTAGAGATGGTGATTAGTGTCATGTGTGAAGTTGAGATGATTATCTAACTAGTGTTATTTGGGGTAGATTTAACATTATAAATTTTCATATGAGAATTTACATAGCTGACAAAGTGAGTTTGATTTCCTGGAGTACAACTTGCAAATTGTCCCAACCTTTTATAGTCCTCATTTTAAGGACATTCCGAAAAACTGTCTTGGTTGTAAGGAGTTTCTAATTCCTTTAGTAAGCACAAACCTGAACAAAGTAACCTGCAATTAAAAGTACCAAGTGACTTTGGACACTTTGGGTCCAAAATAGGATGAGACCGGTTACCATGGTGTGACTCCCCTGTGAATGGGATGTAGTCGATGGCGTCGTTATGCCAAAGGTCAGAATCTGGTGCAAAATGAAATTTTGATTTTAAGAAATCATGTGTCAAAGAGTTCATTTGTATCGTTTATATTGGGGTTGATGACGATTGTAGGGTCATGAGAAACATTTGTGTTTGCTTTAGCCCTGAACATGTTGGTGTCTACATAACAAAAGGAAATAGATATATTTTAAGTACAAGGACATTGATTATTGACAGTGGAAAAAAGAATGTGAAAATTAATCATTGTTATTAGACCAAAACAGGAAGCTAATCAATTTCCATTAGATTGTTAACTTGCCCTTCGCAGAAAAGTTAGTTCAGATCAGCATTTACATAATTACTATTCACCATCTGAGAATTGTTATGTATTTGTTCAAACCATGAATTCCTACCCAAATGTGTGGTAGTTATTTCCAAATTGCTAAAAAGCCTTTCTGTTACCAAACTATGGAGGCCAGACATTGAACAATTGTTGGGGATTCCTTAATTAATGGGTTTAGAGTTGAAAAGTATTTCTACACTAATTTTGGTTATGTTCCAGACTGATAAACAGTTTTTATTTTCTAATGTATAGTTGTACAGATATGCAACATACAAACTGTACACAATATGTTTAAAAAAAGATTAATTCATATACCTATTTCTTTTCCAGAACAACTTGTACTTTCTCACAACGAACAACCAGTGAATACTTGGGAGGAGGATATCCTTTTGTAGAAACATTTAGAGGCTGTTGCTTATGTTGTGGTAGAACAAAACATATTACCCACACAATCTACAAATGAGTGAGTGATCTGATATGTATTTATGTCAGTTTTAGCATTATTTTAACTACCTCTGTGGCCTAGTTGATAGGTCACCTTCTTAGAGAGCATGCCAGTGGTTGAACCCTCAGATGCGTCATAGCAATAGACAATAAAATATGTTACTTGTTATTTCCCTGGCTTGCATTATTTTAACTACCTCTGTGACCTAGTAGATAGGTCACCTTCTCAGAGAGCATGTCAGTGGTTCAACCCCCAGAGTCACGATATGGCTGAAATATTGCCAAAGTGACTTTAAATTTTAACTCACTCACTCAACCCCCAGATGTGTCATAACAAAAGGGGGCGGTGGGGTAGCCTAGTGGTTAAAATGTTGGCTCGTCACGCCGAAGACCCGGGTTCGAATCCCCACATGGGTACAATGTGTGAAGCCCATTTCTGGTGTCCCCCGCCGTGATGTTGCTGGAATATTGCTAAAAGCGGCGTAAAACCAAACACAGTCAGTCATAACAAAAGTTGATGAAAGATGTTACTTGTTATTTCCCTGGCTTGCATTCCAAATTAAGGATTAAGACAAGGTTAAGAGTGAGTGTTTTGTGTGTGACTAGGGTTCACCCCTCCTCACCATTCAGCAATATTACAATCACCTCGTGTTCAGACACCAAATGATGAACCCATGTTATGACTAAATCTGTTTTCACCATGACAAGTCAAAGTTACCAACATTGTTAGCATGAAGTTACACAAAGCCCACCTTTTCTGTCACCTACAGGGGTGGAAATAACCCATTGCCCAATGTCCCAGTCCAGTGTTTTTTTCTGTCGGGCAAGCAAATTTGTATATCACGCTGTACCGGTGTCCAGTTGACTTTCCAATGTTAATTATGTTGTTTATTTAAAAAATCAACAACAAAATTGGCCGGTATAGTGGACGAATTATCAGGGCAAGTGATTTTACATGTGCCACTGTACCGGAGTACACTAGCAATTTTAAAGTTATTTCCACCCCTGACCTACTATGGTGGGAATGATGCCTGAGTCTGTGTAAAACAGTGCTGTTACTCCTGAAACACAGATCCTATTGAATCATGTAGGTGATCAGTTGTGTAAGTATGTCAAGAAACGAGACCAGTATTAAAATGATGAAAGATTATTTTAGGAGATCTGTTGGCTGAGTAACAGTGATTAATAGTGCAGAAAGGATGAAACATAAGCTTCTCTGACAAATTCATACCTTCCAAATGTCACACATTTGGCGTGAGAATCACACATTTACATACAAAATCACGCCTGTATGACCACTCTGTGAAATCTCATGCATTTACAAAAATGAAATAAATTGAAAGTAAATCGTAAAGTCACTATGAACTGCATTTGGATATTAGGAATCTGAAATGAGCATGTCATTGTGGTTCATAAGTTAACATTATTACTTTAAAAAAAGTGTTTATTCTGCATTTAAAAGTATCCCTCTTATGTGAATCATATATCTCTGGTCTCCAAAAGTGCTAAATTACTTTTTGGTTAGGGGGGGCTACACGCACGCACTCACGCACGCACACACACACACACACACAGACACAGAGGACATCATCCTTGACCTGACCACAGACCTTTGACCCCAGAACCTTGTTTTTTGGAAAATCTCACTCATTGGAAACATTTTAGGTTGGCAGCCCTGCAACTTCCACTGTGGTTCATTGAGTCATTCCTTTCCCTGGTGTCTCCTGTGGTGCTTTCAGAATATTACAGGGATATTCTAGGTATTCTCTGAGACTGACACTCACTCACTCACGCCTGATAGTCCACTTCCTTGACTGGTGTACATTATGACCAGCTGATATTGCCGCTGTTGGAGGAAAAGCAGCCATGCTACATCTTCTTCCGCACAGACGAACTTGGAGGCACAGGAGACACTTACCAGTGGATCTTCATCAGTTGGTCTCCAGACTTTTCACCAGTAAGTTTCCTTTGATTACTTTCAGTTTCAACGTGAAGCTATAATATAGCAAGGACTTCATCAAATACTAATTCTTTAAGAAATGCTGTATAACCCTTGTGCCATGAACATATGTTGAAAACTGAACTGTTTGGTGTATCGTGAAGAACCTTTACTGCTTGATTACTAGGGCTGCAATGATTCGGTTCAAGTCATCGAAATCGAATCTGACACCTTAGTTTCGATTTTCGATAACCATTAACACTATTTCGATTCAATATTTGTATACCTATTTAAATTATTTCTACACAGCTAGAACGTAATTTTGACTCCAACTCAATGATTGGTTGACGCCAGGCTAATTATCAAATGAGAATTGTTGTTAGTAGACATTGCCAAGTTGACAATGAATTTCAAGCTAAAAAAGCCGAATCTGAGAGTCAAATGAAATCTGATGTTTTTACTTGTATGAACAATCGAATGATCGAATCGAGGGTCCAATATCGAATCGATTCGAGGTCTGGGAGAATCATTGCAGCCCTACTAATTAAATGGAACTGGAACTTATTTCAAATGTTTATGGCCTCACGTTTTGTGAAGCATATCCTTGATGACTGTGGTCTATCCTATGTGTTTTGAAATCTGTCTGTATGCTTGACGCCCTGTCTTGTCTCAGTGGTTGAAAACAACTACAGATCGCAGTTTTTCCAAAGTTTGAAGTCCAATGTTGATCAAGTTCCAAGGATGATTATCATAAATATTTCAAAACCCAATCAATCTTTGAAAAAATATCGTCTTCTTCCAAAAAGCATATATGACCCAATTTTGAAGTTCAGAACAACAAACCATAAATTACCAATTGAGACAGGCCAATGGTTGAACATTCCACGTGAAGACTGAAAATGTCCATTTTGTGTTTCAAATGCTGTTGGAGACAAGTTTCACTACTTGTTTAGATGTGAACCTTTCCTCCAACTGCAACATCAATCTCTGAACAATAAATACTTCGAATTTCCAAATATGTCCATCTTAAAGGCCTTTCTAAATTACTGAATCACATATTCAATGCAGTTTTGTTGTTATTTACAAGCTGCTATCTTGTTTGTTATGTAAATGTATATATATACGTTATCTCATCTACTGCTGTTGGTGGTTTCCGACCTTACTGTCGGGTTGACCTTACTGTCAAGGTCTTTATCATACCAAGACCTTACTAGCAAGGTATATATTGTATGACCTTACTATTGACATGATCAAGGTATTTATCATTCCATGACCTTACTACCTTACTATGTAGGTAGGTATCGTGTCATGACCTAACTATCCAGGTATATATCATACCATGACCTTACTACCTTACTATGTAGGTAGGTATCGTCTCATGACCTAACTATCCAGGTATATATCATACCATGACCTTACTACCTTACTGTGTAGGTAGGTATCGTCTCATGACCTAACTATCCAGGTATATATCATACCATGACCTTACTACCTTACTATGTAGGTAGGTATCGTGTCATGACCTAATTATCCAGGTATATATCATACCATGACCTTACTACCTTACTATGTAGGTAGGTATCGTCTCATGACCTAATTATCCAGGTATATATCATACCATGACCTTACTACCTTACTATGTAGGTAGGTATCGTCTCAATGTTTCTGTTTCAGGTCCGCCAGAAGATGTTGTATGCGGGAACTAGGGCAACTTTAAGGAAGGAGTTCGGTGGCAATTACATCAAAGATGAAGTTTTTGGAACTGCAAGGGTAAAATACGTTAATTTATTCTTATTTTGTAGGGCGGTGGGGTAGCTAGTGGTTAAAGTATCTGGGGTCCCCTGACTTGATATTGCGGGAATATTGCTAAAAGTGGCGTAAAACTAAACTCACTCACTCACTCCTATTTTGTACTTGTACATCCAACTGATTTTACATTTAGTTACAAGGCCAATAAGCAGCACACCAGGAAGTATATGTTTGGAGATTGCAGCTTGTCCTGAAAACGGGTCAAGTCACATGTATTTCCTCTAGTATTAAATGGCAACATGCTCACATTTCTGCTGAAAGTGATTCCTGAAGCCATAAGTAGGTTTGTTCACTGGACAATATTTTGTATGATAGAATTATTGTCTGTTTGCAGTGAAAACATACCGATGAATTTCACTTTAAACAAGAAAGTAAATCGAATAAAGTGACATTAAGATTGAGAATCCTCATAATTTTACCTTGCCAACTGAACATTTAAATATCAGAATTTTATTAAACTTAGGATAAAAGTTGTTTAACAAACGATCATAGTTTCAAATCGCTATTATTGGTTTGTATTACAAGGGGGTATGCACATTAAATGAAACACCGAGAACAAGTAGGGTTGGTCCAAGTTAGCGCTCATCACGTACAGCACGTGCATTTGTTTCAGTGTTCCAACTACCGCGCTTTACCCCTTGTAATACAAACCAATAATAGCGATTGGAATCTATGATCGTTTGTTAAACAACTTTTATTCTATGATGAATAAAATTCTGAGATTCAAATGTTCAATTGGCAAGGTAAAATTATGAGGATTCGCAATCTTAATTTCACTTTATTTGATTTACTTTCTTGTTCAAAGTGAAATTCATCGGTACGTTTTCACTGCAAACAGACTATAGGGGTTGACGTTGATCCTGTGTGCTAGATTCTTGATTTATCTGAGCCATGCCTGCAGGTTTCACCAGTGATCTATTTGACCTTAGCCTGTGGTCTGAGACTGTCATCCTACATGTAGATGACAATGTTATTGTAACTGGAATGTGTTTCAAGGAGACATTAAACCTAATATAGCTCACAATGTGACACTAATGCCCATAGTAAAATGATAACATTGAAATACAATATGAAGTTGCAGGAAACCCAAAACATCCACTCATTCACTCAGCCAAATTGAATGCAGAGGTTTTCCTAAGGGCATTTCAGTTATTTTTGGGATTGTTTAGGGGAATCTGTGCATGGAAGTAGGTGTAAGCTGTGAATTCAATCCTCCCAATAGTTTCAACTGGAAGTTTGCTGGTTACTGCCACACTCAACAATATTCCATCTATATGGCAGCGGTCTGTAATTAACCGAGTCTGAACCAAACAATCCAGTGATCAACATCATGAACATTGATCTGTGCAACTTAGATACGATGACATGTGTCAACCAAGTCAATGAGCCTGACTACCCGATCAAGTTAGTGGCCTCTTACGACAAGCTTGGGTTACCGAAGACAGTGTATGAAATAAGCCAAAAACCCAGCCAGACATCAGGGCTGGTAACTTCAAAATGTTACCAGTCCGAAATGAATTTAACCAGACCAGACACCAAGATATACGGTGAATTTACTAAGATGTATGGAACATCTAAACTTTTTGCCAGACCATCGGGCGGGCTAGCTGTAAATCTAGACCGTCGCCTTATTTCATACACTGCTGAAAACCAATTCTAACCCGGATCTTCATGGGTCAGTTATTTGCAATAAATAAAACATATATATGTTGTGTTCACCCCATCTCAGTTTTTGTGCATAAATTATTTGATGCATCTGGTTAACTGTGAAACGTGTGCAAGTGTAGAGTCTCTATTTATAGGAGGACGTGACGTTGGCAGGCTACAGGAAGCACCGGCAATCCCAGCAGGCACCAGCGACGCTCACGTACGCCGAGGAGGAACTGGACTTGATCAAGAAGAATGAGGTGAGGTCAAACTTGCCATTGTCGTATAATTCCCTCATCAGCACCACTCTCTCATCAGCAGTGTTAAACATTGCTACATCATATGTTGAGCAGATTGCATGCAAGCAGCTGTTGACTGTAGTGCCAACTTAGAACAAGAATGAACTTAACACAAGCTTGAGCACCTGATATTGGCACCCAGTGCTGATGGAATTTTATTCTTTACTACATTTTCCTTTTTGATTGAGAAGTTTAAAGAAGCTTATAGAGAAGTTCACATTTCATCTTGTTTCGATATATAATATAATACATGTTATGTTTGATTTCTGCTTAACACCTTTTGATGTATTGATAAGCAATTGATAAACAGTAGTAAGTAAAATTCATTATGGGAATGGATGATTATGACATGCAGTGGGGTGTCTATATCATCTGCCATAAATATGAAATGTGTGTGGGGATGACCTTTGTCTTTCACATTTTGCATGCTTCTCCATAAAATCATCATCAGTTCCCTAGCCATAAATTACTGTGTAATCATAGCCAACCATTAGGGCCTTGTCATCTTGGGTTAGATGCATCAGAGGTACACACTAAGAACTAGACTGGCAGTTGTCGGACCTGTTTTTGAAAGCCTAGGCTGCTGAGGACCATTCATAATTTATGGCTGGAACGCATGAATGAATGATGGGGATGGGGGTCTGTGGGCGATGATGGTTTTAGGGGGTGGGGAGAGAGGGGGTCATCAGTTTTGTACACATGTATGGGCGGGGGTCATCAATTTTGTACATACAAATATTTAAAAATTATGCTTAAAAATTATGGGAAGGGGGAGGGGTACATGAGTGTACGTTCAAATCCTGGTTGGCACTCAAAAAGTAGCAGCTTTGTACTTTACTAAGAAAGTGTAACCCCAAATGACCAGTAGGCAGCTTTGTGTATTCATCACATGAACCTTTTACATAAGAAACAAAGTAAAATCTGAAGTAGTTTCAAAATAAAAGTTTGTCTTAATGCTGACATATTCTAACCAGCCTTTGATAGGGACTATGAGACATGTCAACAATTTAAATATACACTGGTCACATGAGAATCTGTTCCATGCATCAAGGGAAAAATAAACATACCCTTGTCAATAATGGAGTAGTATATTCAGTTTTTTATTCTGGTTGAATGAAGACCATAAAGGGAGATCCCAATGTTCACTTTAAATGAATACAACTTTTCTTACGTTACGATATTTAATTTTTCAGGGTTTCCATAATAGAATGTCATCATTTACATAATCTTCTTTCAAAACAGTTTCATGTATAAAAAGGTTTTTATTCATTGCATGTTTTAATTGACTCACATTAATCAATTACTTCTCTTGTTCACTTTCATATTAGTTTTTACATGAGTTACCAAATATATATTATCCCCAATTTCCGAGTTAAGAGACTCCTGCAGCATGTGAGCCCCTCCCCTTCTGTACCATGTCTGTACTGTTGCCAGGATCAGGCTAGGCGCGAGATGGCCGAGGTAATCCTGTATCTAGATGTGGACTGATTTGTGTCTGGATGCACAGTTAGTGACTAACAACACGCAGTTAAAACATTTAAATGTTCAATTACAGACCAATTAAATTAGGTCTGATACTGCCAGGACCGTTGTACATTATTATCATCAGAAATAGCAGTTTCTTTTGATTTTTGATTTTTTTTAGAAAAAATTATTTTTTTGTCATAAACTTTATTGATCCATTTAGTTAATGTTCCTTTTAAAATATTTATTGTCCGAAAAGACAGTGGATGCAACTCTTATAACCGACCGCTCCCAATTCATAAAATTTTCATCAGAACAATTCATATTCTGTTCAACTCATTCAGTTCTAATTGAATGTGGTAGACACATTGCCGTTGAAGAAATGAGTTTGCTTGTAGATTATGTGTGTGAAAACATCTGCATGGTGAGATGTACCTTCGGGATGTCTTTGTGAATATGTTTGGTTCAATCTTCTGATCGTCTCTCAGTTTAAAGTATTTAAATTATGTGCAAGCTTTCTGGATTAAAGACAGAACCATCTGTACCATCTCTAGAAATACTGCATGTTGTACGTGTGAACAGCTTTAATGGTGTTAGACCTTTTTTGTGCTTACCTAGTTTAAAACAAATTGGTTATATTTTTGTCCCCCGCCAGAACTATGTATTCAGCGGCGTCCGTACGTACGTCCCGATTCTTGTTAACGCAATATCTCATGAACTGTTGTACCCAATGTCTTCAAATTTGGTGACAGCCTACATTGGGGGATTACGCAGACACCAGTTGATTTGGGAAACCTTGACCTTATCTTCAAGGTCACCATGACACTTTGCACACTTTTAACTCTTGTTAACGCGATATTTCATGGACTGTTGTACCCAATGTCTTCAAATTTGGTAACAGCCTACATTGGAGGATTACGCAGACAACAGTTGATTGGGGTGACCTTGACATTATTTTCAAGGTCACCACAACACTTTGAACTCTTGTTAACGCGATATCTCATGGACTGTTGTACCCAATGTCTTCAAATTTGGTGACAGCCTACATTGGGGGATTATGCAGACACTGCTTTATTTGGGTGACCTTGACCTTACCTTCAAGGTCACCACGACGCTTTGACCGCTTTTCAAACTTATTTAAACGTGATATCTCATAAAACATTGCACCCAATGTTTTCAAGTATGTTGACAGCCTACATTGGGTGATTATGCAGACACCAATCATTTCAGGCATCTTTTATGTGACCAAAAAATTAAAAGATGTAAAAATAGATATTCGGTTCTTTAGCGGCGGGGACATATTTGTATAGCGCCAATATCCATCTGAGCTGTTTAAAAGTGCTCTGTTTCTCCCTCGATCATTGATGTTAATCTCAAACAGCACATTGTATTATCAACCTCAACTCCCTGGGGATCATACAACGTACAAATTGTTCTAATGGTCGAAACTAGCAATTGTCAAAATAGCAATAATCAACAAATATTCTCAAATTTGTGAGTTCTGATAAGAAAAATCAGTAAGAATGGTGAGGTGAAATAAAGGACATATTTTCCATCCATTACAGAAGTGAATCTTATTATCATCTATTTTCTTTTGTAAAGGTTAGGAAGAATTTTGGTTATTAATTCATGTTATGTTGATGTCAAACATAGCTTAGGTGCCACAATGTACTGTACTGAGTTGCTTCCCTTAGTTGTACAAGGATCTGCTGATCATTTGAATGCCAGATGAACCATATGTCTGCACATTAAATATTGGTTTCTCCAACATTGTCCAAATTGGAAAACAACTTGAAGTGTCACAGGGCATTCATCTAACCTAATCCTTACTGGTTGTGAGACCACCTCCGTGGCGTAGTTGTTAGAGCGTCCGCCCGGAGAGCGAAAGGTCGCGGGTTCGATCCCCGACCGCGTCATTCCAAAAGACGTTAAAATATGGTACTTGTTGGTCCCTGCCTGGCGCTCGGCATTAATGGGTACAACAAGGACTGGTCGGCTCGGAGTCAGTATAATGTGTCTGAGTGGGGTATTCATGCTTCACTGCGGCTTGGTATCTCAGTGGGCTAGCACTATAAAACCAGCTTCAGTCTGGGCACTATAAAACCAGCTTCAGTCTTGCCCGTGTCGTCATATGAAGCGAAATATTCTCAAGCGACGTTAAACCCAATTCACCTCACCTCACCTTGGTATCTCAGTGGGCTAGCACTATAAAACCAGCTTCACTCTTGGCTAGTACATATGCCGCCATACAAATATTCATATCAAGCGAAATATTTTCAAGCGCTATGTTAAACCCAATTTCACCTCACCTTACAGGTTGTGTGATGTACACGAAATTGGGGTTGTGCTCATGTTGAAACACAATTCACTCACTTACTCAAATGCTAGAATGCGTACATCTCACACTTTAGTTTAACACTTAGCCCCTGAGATGAGTTGGCAACATTCTTGGTGGATGTTTTTTTAGTGTACCCCTTTTGTCAGTAGTTTGGTTCGGTTATTGTTTAACGCTGCCCTCAGCAATATTCCAGCTGCATGGCAGCAGTCTGTAAATAATCGAATCTAGACCCGACAATCCAGTGATCAACAGCATGAGCATTGGTCTACACAACTGGGATACGATGACATGTGTCAACCAAGTCAGTGAGCCTGACCGCCCGATCCCATTAGTCGCTTCTTACAACAAGCATGGGTTGCTGAAGATCTTCTAACCTGGATCTTCACAGGTTGTCGTCAGTCGTTGTTTTTGTTGTATATGTGGATGTTGTGACGAGCATGTGGCCCAGCTGTCAGCATGGTTGTAACACATGTCGCAGTTGTTGCAAAGTTCATGGCGCTGCCATTGTTCCTGCAGTTGCGGCACCAAGTAGTTTATCCAGACAATCATGACAATTTTCATTTTAATATCTACTCTGTTGGTTTGGTTGACCCCATTTATAATGTTTATCCTCAATTTAAATTACTAATTTTGATCAGTAAAATGTTTTTGTTTTGATTGTCTTTTTATTGTGTTTATGTAGAACAATCACAACATATGATATTTTTGCGAATGTTGAAATACAAATTACACACAATCGCATTGTTTGATTTGTATTCATTTATAATGAAAGGGCTTGGAAAGAATGTCCTCATAAAATTACGGTTGTTGTTTACATGATCATATTTGGTTAAGTTTTATACATGTAGTTTCGTGTTTGTATTTCATACTGTGGTGTCAATATTGGAAGCCACATGGAAGTCTTCTGATGTGCCATGTTTGCTGTGAAGAGTTGTGTCCCTTAGATTCGCCATATTATCTCAGATTGGCGCTTTGTTTGTCAGTACCAAGCTGGGCTGGTAGGGTACACCAAATGGTAAACTTGCTCAGCTTGAACGAGTTTTGACATCCCTCACAGAAATCTGGCATTCTATGATATATATGTTAATGTTGAAGCGGGTAATTCAACGCTTCGGACACAAGTTTACAGGAGGCTGATGGTTTGGTTTGTTACAGGTTCATGCGGAGATCGGCATCGACACGAAGCACCAAACAGTCCAGGGGGTGATGTTCCCCCTCACACAGGCGGCCCGGGACAAGGTCCTGCAATACAAGGAGGGCATGTACTCATACATTCAACTTGTAAGTTTAGATTGTCAATGTTTGGTTTAAATTCATTTCAGGGAAATTTGGTTATGAAAGACGATGTATACTGCAGTTTGCACTTTGATTTTATCTTGGTGTAGGTTATTGCCATGTCAGATGTTTTTCTTCTTGGAACCTGTCTCTGGTGTGTGAGCATGTCTGTGATGTTCAGTTGTCTGGTGAATGAACTTGTCTCTGATAATGTGTGATATGTGTGATGTCTAATCAGGTCACTGATGCCTGAATCGTATGATGTCTTAACATGTCTCTGAATGTCTGAATATCTCTGATGTCTGAACATGATGACGTCTGAACATTCTGAGGTCTGAACATGTATGTGATGTCTGAACAGGTCTGAATAGGTCTGTGAATGTCTGAATATCTGTCTGATATGGTCTGATGTCTTATGTCTCTGAATGTCTGAATATCTCTGATGTTTCTGAATGTCTGAATAATGGTCTGATGTCTCTGAATATCTGAATATCTCTGATGTCTCTGAATGTCTGAATATCTCTGAGGTCTGAATATGTCTGAGGTCTGAACATGTCAGTGTTGTCTGGACTTGTCTCTGAGCTCTTTTCTCCCTGTGTTGACAGAGTTTAGATCTCAAGGAAGAAGTGGTAGATGTTGCGTTAGTTGAAGAAGACATTAACCTGTCCAGACTATCATCTAAAGTCCCCATGGACCACGCCCGTTACCATCTGATCAACTTCAAGCACACACACGAAGGTGACTACATGGAAAACACAGGTAAGTGAACTATTTCCCGTCAGTGTTTTGTGTTAAACATAACAACAACCCTATTTGTGTAATAATGAGTGAGTGAGTATGGTTTTACGCCGCTTTCAGCAATATTCAAGCAATATCACGGCGGGGGACACCAGAAATGGGCTTCACACATTGTACCCATGTGGGGAATCGAACCCGGGTCTTCGGCGTGACGAGCGAACACATTAACCACTAGGCTACCCCACCGCCCCATTGGGGATTAAGACTGTGCTGTTAATTTATTAAAGGTTTGAATAATACTTTGATAACATGAACTTTATATTTCTTGTCTCAAATTTCGAATATTATCATGCATCCCATGGGACATAGTATGTGTAATTTTCTGCATTCTTTCTATACATTTTGTGTATTGGACGCACATTTCTGCGTCTTTTAAAACCCTGCATTACACTCCTATACTGAAAGTTTCATTTCAGGATTTCCTTCTAACAACCAACAAGACTCTTGAGGATATTTGTTCAATGTGTTTGATACAATCTGTTTTCACATGTGGCCATATAGATATAATCCATTTATTTCATGTCCTGGTAGGAAGTCTCTTTGGCCGCCACTAATAGCAGTGAAAACAAACAGAGTGGCTTAACCTGTGTGAGATGTGAGACCTATCTGTGCGATATACAAAGTTTGATAGAGATAATGTTATTACATTTCATTGCTTTGTACAGAACCTCTAAATATTTCACATAAGGACCCCTTGACCAATTAGTAAGTGGAGGTCTTGTAGACCCCAAATTTTGTTGGTCAAGATTTCTGTCTTCAAACAGTGGTAATGATATTGCACCACTATTGGTTGTACTTCCTGTGATAGAATGTGAGACAGACAAAGTTTGATGGAGATAATTATTACATTTCATTGCCTTACAGAACCTCATATTTCACATAAGGACCCTTGAAATTAGTAAGTGGAGGTCTTGTAGCCTAATGGTTAAAGTAATGTCTATTGGTTGTACTTCCTGTGATAGAAGAGCGGTAGGGTCATCGTCATGCCAAAGACCGGGTTCGATTACTAACATGGGTACAATGTGTGAAGCCCATTTCTGGTGTCTCCTGCCGTGATATTGCTGGAATATTGCTAAAAGCGGCGTAAAACCATACTCACTCACTCCTGTGATAGAACTATAGCATTAGGAATTGCCAGTAGTACTGTTGATAGAATGCATAGTTTCAATTAGTTACAAGTAAAAGATAAAGTTTGCTTTTTTCTCAGTTTCTTCGGCATTGGTTAGCAAGGGTTATGACAACATCAAATGAGAGGTACATTTCTTTGGATTGAGTATCAACTCTCACTCTCTGGTCGAAAAGGTTGTTAATGTCCAGTTTTTGTGAAGCCCATTTCTGGTGTCCCCCGCTGTGATATTGCTGGAATATTGCTAAAAACGGCGTCAAACCATACTCAGTCAGTTAATGTCCAGTTCAAAAGTCTGATGTCAGATAAAAAAACTTATTTGCCACCTACACCCCCAAAAGTAAGGAGTTAAGATCTTTCTCCAAAAGCCAACTTTCAAAATGGCCTCTTATCATTTGGCATGATTGGTAAATGTGATTTTTGTTTACTAGTATCTGTTGTTAGTGTTTTAAAAGTATAAGCGGTAATCACATCTAGACAGAAATGATGTGATAAACTTGATATGTCAGCCATCCTGTTTTTAAACTCATAAGACTCTCTTAACTTTTGTCATAAACTGGAGCTAGTTTAATGCTGCAACATCTTTGAGAAAAGACGTAGTTTCTATTTGCTTTGACACTATACAACAGCATTAGCACACAGACAGCTTAATGAATAAACTGCTTGGTCTCCACAAACTGATGCTTGTCTCCATATGTATTCCAAAGAACCGTGATGGTCCGGGTTAGAATATTGGCCTTCAGTAACTCATGCTTGTCGTAAGAGGCGACTAACGGGATTGGGTGGTCAGGCTTGCTGACTTGGTTGACACATGTCATCGGTTCCCAATTGCGTAGATCGATGCTCATACTGTTGATCACTGGATTGTCTGGTCCAGACTCAATTATTTACAGACCGCCGCCATATAGCTGGAATATTGCTGAGTGCGGCGTAAAACTCAACTCACTCCCTCAACTTATTCCAAACCAATGCTGTTGTACAAAGCAGCCATAATGCTATGACTGTCATAAGTCTGTATTAAGGTATGTGTGTGATGAATATCTTTGCACTAGTTTTTTTTTGTAAAATGTCGCCCAGCTCCCCAGACACCTACATTATATCATACGTAAAATGTTCAGTGTGTGGTAAGGTGACTTCATAGCTTATGCTTTCAATCACAGGTTTGTCTAGTCCAGATTCAGCTATTTACAGGCCAATGTAGAATATTGCTGATGTGCCTCTAAACAACCTTCACATACTCACCCCCCTCCCTCGTATTTTAGTGTTCATCTACTCCATGCCGGGGTACAAGTGTTCCATCAAGGAGAGGATGCTTTACTCCAGCTGCAAGTCCCCACTCACAGACACCCTAGAGATGTCCTACGGCATCCCCATTGTCAAAAAGGTAGGACTTACTGGAGAACAACATTACTTCCACCTTTTGTGCCATGAAATCATTCAGACCCAGCAGAACAGTATCATGTTTGTAAATGACTTGTGTGTAAAGTCTAATTTACTGTTACAGTTACGCATGCTGGATCAATTCATTCCTATACAGATTTTGTTATGATGATTATACTTCTCAAAAGAAGTTAATAACACCTGATATTTTCTACAGTTTATCTTTAGGCCATGAGAGATTAAATATGCTCATGAAAAGATCTGAATACCATATTACAAAGTGATTGTAGCACTACAACTTTGGGGATTATTTGCTGTTGCTGCTAGTTCACATCTACATGTATAACCTTGAATATCATGTATTAATTTGTCCTTCACAGATTGAGATTGATGACCCAAAAGAATTAACTGCGGAATTCTTGCAAGAGGAGATACACCCCAAGAAAAATGCTGTGCGCCAATCGTTTGCCAAGCCGAAGGGCCCGGGGGGTCGTGGTCCGCGGAGGATGACGAAACCCAAACCTGCAGGAGAAGATTGATACGACAGATGGCTAGGCTAACACATCATGTCACCTGTATCATCATGTTATCATTGCTTTGCGCCATGCTCAGGACAGATCTTTAGTATTTATGTTTTTGTTAGGGTCCTTCAGTGAAGAGGAAAAAGTTTTTAAAGGGCAAGAGGGAAAAACTGTAAATTTTGTCCATAAAAAGAATAAAACATTATACCAGAAAACAAACAAAACAATTAATCCAAAATTAGACAGCATATTCATATATATTTTCCATTAAGCACAAATATGGGTTGGATTGTCTGTAAAACGAGAAATTGTTTTGGGTCGGAATTTCCTTCTGAGTATAAATTGATTAAGTGACACATTAGGAAAGTGGAAGTACTTTTTGTTTTAGGAGATATTGCTTTCAGTTTCAGTATGCAAGCCAACACTTATGTTGAGATTTGTTATTGTTTTCATGAAGAGAGTTGTGTTCACATGTTGAAATATGTTTTATGCTAAAAAAATCTATATTTTTGTTATTTATCAGAGTATATTTCTGATGCGTTAGTATGTGAATGACAGATGGGTACAATAGCAGGAAGATGAAAAATTGAAATGTAGCTTTGTAGAATATTTCAATTTATATATATGGTTTTAGCTGTAATTTAAATATGATGTTGAGTCTCTCAGTTCTAAGTATTCTGTTTGCATTAACATTACCTTAGAGCATTATTGATTTTTATTTTGAATTTATTTGGATGAGGATTTTTCAAATTTGAATGAATTTGTGTATGCATAGTCTCTGTTCACGTTCAGTTTCCTGATCATGAAAATAAAAGGGGTATCTCCTTGCTTCGAGACACTTCTTTGATGTGCAACTGCTGAGGGTTTTCCAATAGTGTTCTTGATGTATTTATTTTTAGTTAATAAGTATCGGCGATATAGTAAAGGGGAGTGTAACATTTATTTAACTTGAGCACAATTCAAAACTGTGTACATGTTTTAAGTATAGGAGTACGATACACTTTTTACCCCTTTTCACTCGGGATTAAGAACAATGAAAAGGATGTAACATGATTTTATATAATTTCTGTTTAGGTAACAACAATCTTTAATGTTATTTATTTGGATCACTCCTTGATTTCGTCTGTGCTGGTTATGATAAATGTAGCGTGGTATGGTATAAGGGACACCTTCATTATGAACCATGATTATTTGAAGCTAATTACACCAACATTTCCCTGTATACTGTAACATAATAAACATTTATTTTTGTTAAAGATGTCTGCTGGTTTGATTTTGTGCGGGTATCTCAACTCCAATTGCTGTGTCAACAGTCCCTTAATGATATTTGTCTTGTAAATCGCCAATATGAATCACAAAAATAAGGTAAAAGGTTAACATAACAGTAGTTTATACAAAACAAAAGTTAAGTCCTATATTTTGCTTACAACAATGGGAGACATGTTCTTATGACTGTGATTTCTCTACATTGCAACCTTGATGCCTGAGGGAAGATATCTCACAGATGAAATTACCTGAGGCCTGCATCACTGAAGGCTTTCCTTCCACATTAACTGTTTACTTCTTGATACAACTGGAACACTGGGGTGTTAACAAGTTTACTCTCATTGACTGAGTAGCTGCACCCTATGAAATAAATGGGAATATGTACTAGTTTTTGCTCAAATAATGCACATTGTTTTTTCCCATGTGTGTAGGATATAAAAAAATGTTAAACACTTTTGTTTTCAATTCTACTTTCATTTAAAAGTGTTCACACAGTGAAGTATTTGTTTCAGTAAAGAGTGACTTTCGTACACCTAAACCCAGAAATATGAACAGTGCTAATGATGCATTAGTCAATTAAAAGCTTTTACCTCTCCTTAGGATGGAATAATACCAGCAGACATCTTTAAGTTCTCGAAGTTGTAACTGTTTTTGTTAGCCCTGCCAACATTCCTGGTGTACTGTTTCTACCGAGTCTAAGTCTTTTGTTTCCTTTTGGGTCACATGTGCCCTTATAGTCATGTGTACCTAGCAAGGGTGGATAACTCTGGATGCTGCCTGTTCACAACAAAGGTAGGTAACTCTACATTTAATGTGTGGTTAACAGGGGCAGGTAACTTGGCTGATCACACAGCAAGGGCAGATAACTCAAAACGTAGGTTCATGACATCGAAATCTGTCATAGATTTTGGTTAATTCAGCAGGAAGCAAAAGACTTTCAATTCTTGGACATATAGACTTTCTCAGGATATCTTGTGTTGAATTCAGATTGTTATTGATTGCTTGCTCACACTCAGTATTCCATTTCCTGTATGTTCAGTTCTGTTTTACCCTATCACACATCGTCAGAAACCATTTTCCTTGTCTCATAAGAAGGTTGGCTTATTTTTGCATTGTGTTTTTGTTGTTGCTACCAACAGTAGGTGTTAAGGGTTTATGCCCTTTTTCTCTAGTAATTTCTGATTATGTCATTCTGGGAAAGTCACCAGGATATGAACGGTATGCTGAGACGTTGAATTCAGCTGCTAATTAGGTAGTCCTGGAATGGTTCTGTTTCAGGTAATGTGGTTCTGAATGCTTGCCGATTCTTGTCTAATTGTTAAAGACTTAAAGGCAAATGATAAATATTAAAATGTACTTTTGTAACACTATTACAAGGAGAGCTGGGAAGATAATTCAGGTCACAATATATGAACAGGGACAGTGTTACTGATCTCATTACACAAACCTCCTGCCTTATCCTGGTAGTTTGTATTATATGTAATGAATAAGCTTTGGAGAGGAAAACTTGACATGAAACATGCAGTTGTTTTGCAGTGGTTCTGTAAGGGCATTGACTGGTAAGAGTTCCGCCCGTAACCACCCCTTGAAATGTTAGGGTTAGGTCCTGACATCTGAACCTTTTTAGAAATCTTTTTATTCCCCAGAACTTCTAAACCTAAAAAAAAAAAAATATATAAGTGTCCCTTTTTATAAACCCCATCTATATTTAGGCACAAAATGATAAAAAAACGGGGGTTAAGGGTGGAACTTTCCCATTGATTTAGTCTAAAGTGTTGAAATTGTTTTACTTACAGTAATCTGTTTGACACTGTTATAGCTAGGCATGCTGCAGCCTTGTATAAGATGCCTTTGACAGTGGATCATGATGATCGTGCACTGGCTTATTCCCTGAAATCATCCATTGATGGCGTCAGTTGTTGCTCATTCATTCAGTCACTGGTTTGTCTAATCCAGACTTCATTATTTACAGACTGCTGTGATATAGCTTTAGCTGGAATATTGCTGCCTTTGCAGTTAAGCAACATTCACTCCTTCACATTGTGTGTCGTGGGCAAGATGGTGGTAGGCCTTGATGTATCCTTAGAATTTTAGAAATATTAGAGGAGGATAGCAGTCGTTAGCATTAACTTAAGGTATGTTGATTAATATGATTGTCATCTCCATTTATGTCACCTTCCAATTGAGCATTAAATCCATGCCCATCTAAGTACAGTGTTAGGGTAGGTAATTATATCAGTGCAGTGTAAGGGCGGTTAACTCTATCAGTACAGTATAAGGGCAGGTAACTCTATCAGTCCAGAGCTGGTAACCTATCACAACTTCAGCATGGCAACATTATTTGAATGTCTTTGGACCTTTCATTCAGATTTTATTTATAATAAAGAACAAATTGTGCTTTTCATTGCATCAATTGTTGCGCAGACAAACAAATACATCCGCTGAAATCAAATTCAAGTATATTTAATGGTTATTATTTCATTAAGTAAGCAGTGCTCGAAATAAACAATCAAAGACTACATTCAAATTTTAGCAACTCAGAATGAATAGAATTAGGGGTCCACAGAATCGATAAGGAGTCTATGTACTGACAACTTTTCCAAAAACGTTATCCATTTATTCTGAAGAGTGATTGAAGTGATTGTGAGTAAAAGTTCTTTGGTTAAAATGGTGGCTAAGCTGGTGAATATATTTTGTTTTATGAAACCAGAAAGGTACATATTGTTCTGAACGTTTTATGCAACTAGATCCGTAGATGTACACTTCACGTTTCTTTCCGGGAATCATCAACCACGTTATCAAACTACCGTCCAGCCAGCTGATAACAGCACTAACTGCAGCTGTACTTCGACTGTCAGATATATTTTGCAAATCGTGTTTTGATGGAACATGTTATTTTCTGATAGTGCTGTCTTATCTGTTTCGGTCACTGTCTGATCATGTGCTTAGCTTAGCTTCTGGATGGGTTTTCTTTCATTCCTTGACTTTCATACTATATATCTTTGCTTATCGCAAAATTTTAACGATGTATATATGGATCCGAAGAGCATTGTTTGTGTGTATGTACATAGTTTTAACTTGTACACGTTTTGGAAATTTTTGCAATGAACAATTATGTCAATGTGTTGAACATTTCAAAATGTGGGGATAATTATCTTGCCCATGATTAGCCAAAACCTATTTACATTGATGTGGAAGTCATGAAACAGAAAGTGGTAATTTTTCTTAATATTACTGAAATGAAAAGACAGGTATTTATAATTTATGAGTGAACGATGAATTGAAAAAAAGTATAGCTGTACAAAGTAATGAAGGATATTTTTTTGAGACATAATGAAATATGATAATTATTGCTCTTGTGAGTTTTTGCTGATTTGAGATGTAGACTAACAATGAGTATGGATTATGGCTATTATTATGATATAATAATAATGTGGTGAGTTCATCCACCGTTTTGTCTTGTGTTTTCTGTACTAAGGTGCAATCTGTACTTTCTGTGTAGGAGTGTTGGATGTTTCGGTGGAGCTCTGCTGAGTGCCCTGTGCACTGTTTGGCTCCAGTGTTAAAGTGATACCTGTTTACAAGGAGTGTTGATATTCGTTAGCAAATATTCTGTAAGATACCTTTCTTGTAAATATTGATACTAATAAATAATTATTTGTTCTTCAACAGAGTTGTGTCCCTTGAGCAAGGTAAACATCGTTTACAGTTACGGGTACCAATCCTGGTTTTCCTGAATTGTTTGTAACCTGTTTGTATCCGCCTCAGATTGTTGATGCTCTGGAGGATGTGGCATCTATTCAGGACACATGTCCATCTTTGGGTCCACTAGGATTTATTCGGGTACAGGTTACAGGAGGTGGCTCTGAACTCTCAGCTTCAGCCCGACCTGCCCAGCACTGCTGGTTCACAATTATATAAACATCTAATTAGCATAACTGACATTCCTGGCCCATATTCGGCTTTCCTCATTTCATGTTTGGGGAAGTTACCTGTGGTCAGTTTGTATCTTTAGCCAGGGTTATGACTCCCCTCATCGGATGGGGGAGAGGTGAGTCATGTCACTAATTCATGTTCCCTAATAGGGCGTTAGAAATGGTCAACCCACCCGGCTAACGGGATCGGGTGTTTAGACTCCCTCACTTGGTTGACACATGTCATCGTAGATCGATGCTCATGATGTTGATCACTGGACTGGATATTTACAGACCGCTTGACATAGCTGGAATATTGCTGAGTGCGACGTTAAACAACCAACCAGTCAAATCATTGCTGAGCAACAGGCACTGCAACAATAATTAGTAGCATTATCTTTTAAGGTGTTTACCGGATCACTTGTAGTAGACATGTCTACTAACGTGGTGTCATCTATGGACGATCCATAAACATGAACAGTTGCTCAATTTTTAATGATAAATTAAGAACACACAAGTAAAATATAGAATCTACCCACCCAATGGTTAGGGGTAATGTATTAGCGTTTTGTAACGGGCATTTACTATTCGTGTCAAATATACATCTTTGTGTACATGAAGTCCATTTCTGGTTGCTGGAATATTGCTAAAAGCGGCGTAAAACTAAACTCACTCATTCACTCTGTGTGTACATCCTTGTTGCAAGGATCCGCTATTACTGGGTTCGAATCCCAGACTATTATTATTGTGTGTAGTCATGGGCTTCACCACTTTAATATTCGACTACGACAAAATCCATCACTTATTCTCACTCACTCACTCACATCCGGCTTAACATTCGTCTTCAGCAACTCACTCTTGCTTGTGGTAAGAAAATCATTGTCCTCCTGAGAGAATACGGAAGTCCCAAAACATTCAAAGTAAATTTAAGCCTACCAGATTCTTATAAATACTCGTATATTTGTGATTTTTATTTATGGCTAAATTTGATCTATCGCCATCAGTTGAAGTGAAATAGTGTAAATCCAGCTAGGGTCCATGCAGGTAGCAAACGTACTATAAGTCCCCATGGTCCATGGTATGTCGATCTATCTTCAGGTGATGGCGATATACTGACAGTTTTTTATATTGTATTGTCTTGGTCTGATGCTTAATTTCTACCGTACAATATATATATGTCCCTCCTCTTCAACCCTCACTTTCATGTCGAAACCATATATCCAAATACATCACGAAGATAAATACATTTCTCAGTTTTGAAATTCGCTTTTCTATATCATCCGCTCATTGTAGGGAGGGCAATACTGTTTTAAATTACATACATCGTAAACCTCGCCAGTTTTGTCACATTACTAAACCACTATTCAATATTTTGCGTAAAGAAATGAATGTCTCAATGTAAATGAATGTCTTTGCGTAAATTAATGAATGTCTTAAATGAACCGAGAATCTCTGAGAATGTTTTGGAAAATACGCTAACACGAACGTCAACGTGAACGATAGGCCATATTGCAGAGTCTTTGTTTACAAAATCACGTCACACGTATATGTCGGTTATGTTTCGCCTATAACATCACCTAGATAATTCAAAATCAGTTACCGTACACGAAAACCTGAATTCCTCATACATTTCAAAATACAATGACAAATGGTCTTTGTCACCAATACCTAGTGTCTCAGTGAAATTTAGAGAAATATATCAAATGTGAAAACGAATGCCGCGCTGGGAAAGGATCGACCTCTTGTTTCAAATGTAAACATATAAAGTAGTTGGCCATAAGTGAGTCATCATTAGTGAAATTTCCATAGACTTACATGTTACTTAACTGTTGCAAGAATAATTTTCATAAATTAAGTAGAAGTCATTATATTTTAATACTAGTATTTTGCAAACATCTTGGAAATCATCTTCAGCTACGTGTACATAATTTTCTTTCATCTTTCCGTTGGTTAGTTATCGAATGACACCTGATTAATCACCATAAGTACAACTTAATTTGAATTTATCCCATAAACAGCCATGTTAAACCTGATTTTTATGTCTAATATAATGTTGTTTGAATATTTGCAGTTTTTTTAATAATCATCGGAAATTTGAATGGAAATTATGTGTATGTAGCTGAGATGAATTCCCAGCTTGAAGACAAGTACTGAAAGCAGTTCAACCGAAACTAAATTTATGAAGATTATTCTTGCAACAGTTAATTAACAGGCAAGTCTATGGGAATTTCACTAATGATGACTCACTTATGGCCAACTACTTTATATAGATGCGTATGCGCTGTGTATTGTCCAAAATCACCTTGAATGAAATTCCAGAACTCATGCAGATAGTACCTCTTGCAAGCATATGGCTGAAAGTGACTAGGCTCCCTCCAACACTTGATGCCTTGAGACAGCACATTCACAGAGTTCAGATGCAGACATGTGCAAACTTGCCAAACAAGTCTTCTTGGACCCAATGAGTTACGGGTTGCATAAGGACAGGGATGCCCAGCTTAGGCCAGTAACCACAGATGTTCTTCCAGCTCCCCAGGCTATTCTTGAGATTGTTCGAAGACAGTGCAAGACAGACTGTTCAACTCAACGATATCGATGTACATGCAAATCAAAACATATACCATTTACTGAATTTTGTCAATCAGTAATCAATCTCCTTTCGGTGACATTGTGGATATTTACTTTCATCATTATTTACTGATTGATGACATGTCTAAAATGGAAATCATGATAGATATTTTAAAAGGTATTGTGTGTGTGGTGCATGTGGTGTCTGAAGATTGCAACATCTGAGGATAGACATTAACCTGTTTGTACATACCTTTTTCACGTGATTAATGCCAGTATTTACACTCTTCAAAACAAGGAAACACATCAGCCATTTTCGAACAATCAAGAGCAATTATTTCATGTAATTTCAATGTTAAAAAGAAGAAAATTCACACGTCAATAGACAAAGCGTTTTTCAACACAACAGCCTTTATTGATATGTGTCTGGTTTACTTGCGTCCACTCGATGGCGGGGCGGTGGGGTAGCCTAGTGGTAAAGCGTTGGCTCGTCATGCCGAAGACCCAGGTTCGATTCCCCCCCACATGAGCACAATGTGCGAAGCCCATTTCTGGTGTCCCCCGCCGTGATATTGCTGGAATATTGCTAAAAGCGGTGTAAAACTAAACTCAGTCAGTCAGTCCATACAATGGCGTCAAAGACAGTACTTTGTATGGCAACTATTGCATTGGAGGCAATTACTGCTCGGCACAGTCCCGGCACAGACTGGATAAATCGACGGAGTCGCTCTTAAGAATTCTTCCCCACTCTTCCTGCAATGCGATGGCAAGTTATGGAAGTGTCTGAGGCGTGTTTTGACGTTGACGTACACGTCGATCGAGTTCATCCCATAGGTGTTCTATCGGGTTTAGATCTGGTGATCGGGAAGGCCATGGCAACACACTGACGTTAGAATTGGCAAGGTAGCGGACCGTGACGCGTGCTGTATGTGAAGTTGCAGTAGCGTTGTCATGCTGGAACAACTCCCTCTGTCAGTTCATAATCGGAAGCATGTGACGTGCAAGGACTTCGTTGATGTACCGATTCGCTGTCAAATTCCCCGGAATTGGTCTGCAGGAAACGACCCCAAAGGCGAGATTTGGTGCTCTGATGTACATTGAAATGTCGGGACTAAAACTCCCCAGCTTCAAGGAGTCCTATGTTTTGATGGGCGGCACTGAGTCGTGGCATGATTATTTCTTCTTTTCCAGGCAAAAACGAACGACAAAAATTGAACACAACGTTTTCCTTTTTATAGTGATCAATACCACATGCCTTTCCGCTTACTTGTACGTGCATTTTGCTTTGCATGTCTTCTTGGTGACGTTTTGGCGAATATTTCTTCAAACGCTCCAAAAATAAGGGAAAAAGTTCAAATTGCAGCGTTTTTGGCGCTGAAGCTGTTTACAATCACACAAAGATGACGTTTTGGAAAGAAATAGTATCTTTGTATTGTTTTTGCCGTAGCTACAAGAGTCTAATATTCTAAAAAATCACCTATGCGTTTCTTTTTTTGAAGAGTGCATTTTGCTTTGGGACAAGACAGGAGACCAGTTTAAATGAATTCTCTCCAATTCAAAGGGCGGAAACTCTAGGTCGACAACAAAGGCCTCATGATGGCATAACATTTCAGCACTTATATTGAAGGTTATAATTTCATTGTAAGAAAAACGAGTGTATATTTTCAAACATTGATATGAACTGATTAAAAACTTCCATTTTGTTCACATAAGAATAAACGTGATTTTTTCGTGTACAATTCCCCTTTAACTGACCGACTTGAATATTGGAGCATTGTTCAGTGCAGCGTAAACAACAAACAAAATCAGTGGCTTGACAGCTGACAATGACTCACCTGTCATCAGCTCCACATTAGTTCTCACGAGTTAGATAACTGTAAACCTGTCCACTGCTAGCACAGCGGTTAATACAAAATTAATATCTTATACATTTACAATGATTTATTTTTCAAACAGCATAGTGTTCTTTTCAGTAAACCCAATATTCCAATTTTAATCAATTTTACAAACTAGTGCAGCAGATGTTTTGACTTCAATATCTCTACAATGACAATGGCGGCCCGAGGAAGGTTGTTGCTGCTAATATATTGTGTGTTGCAATGCGACTGTGCATTGTTGCTGTTGAGGCGAACAGTGTTGTGGGGAACGACATCTACGAATTGCATCAGCGAACCAGGTGAGTGAGTTTGGGTTAAAGTGGTTTTCAGCACTATATCACAGTTGTGTTACGAGGCAGGTGAGTGAGTGAGATTGGGTTATCGTGGTTTTCAACAGTATATCAGTTATATCCCCGCGTTGTTACCGGGGAGGTGAGTGAGTGAGATTGAGTTATCGTTGTTTTCAACAGTATATCAGTTATATCCCAGCGTTGTTACCGGGCAGGTAAGTGAGTGAGATTGGGTTATCGTGGCTTTCAAAAGTATATCAGTTATATCCCGGCGTTGTTACCAGGCAGGTGAGTGAGTGAGATTGGGTTATTGTTATTTTCAACAGTATATCAGTTATATCCCAGCGTTGTTACCAGGCAGGTGAGTGAGTGAGATTGGGTTATCGTTCTTTTCAACAGTATATCAGTTATACCCCGGCGTTGTTACCAGGCAGGTGAGTAAGTGAGATTGGGTTATCGTGGTTTTCAACATTATATCAGTTATATCCCGGCGTTGTTACCAGGCAGGTGAGTTTGTGAGTGAGATTGGGTTATCGTGTTTTCAACAGTATATCAGTTATATCCCGGCGTTGTTACCGGGCAGGTAAGTGAGTGAGATTGGGTTATCGTTGTTTTCAACATTATATCAGTTATATCCCGGCGTTGTTACCAGGCAGGTGAGTTTGTGAGTGAGATTGGGTTATCGTGTTTTCAACAGTATATCAGTTATATCCCGGCGTTGTTACCGGGCAGGTAAGTGAGTGAGATTGGGTTATTGTTGTTTTCAACAGTATATCAGTCACATCCCGGCGTTGTTCCCGTGCAGGTGAGTTTTGTGAGATTGGGTTATCGTTGTTTTCAACAGTATATCAGTTATAGTAATGTTTGGCGTTGTTTCTAGTATAAAACGACCTTGACCAGGTATCAAGTGCTTGTTTTCATTCAAGAGAGACAACTCCGTTAATCCTTTTAGTTTGTGAAGAGTTATCCTGGCGTTGTTACTGGGCAGGTGAGTGAGTGAGATTGGGTTATTGTTATTTTCAACAGTATATCAGTTATATCCCAGCGTTGTTACCAGGCAGGTGAGTGAGGTGAGATTGGGTTATCGTTCTTTTCAACAGTATATCAGTTATACCCCGGCGTTGTTACCAGGCAGGTGAAAGTTGACTGTCGGTGACAGGAGGCGGCTTTGGTATCGTTGTTTCTAAAACATAATACACTGAAATTCTGGACCAAACAAACTGAAAACCTTTGTATCAGCGCCCAAAGTACAGTCCGAAATTTAACGTGTGGGGTGGCATATCTGTGTTAGGGGCAACGCCCTTCTGTGTATTTGAAGGGAATATGAACAGTGAGCGGTACACAGATATTCTCGAGGACATTTACTTCCATCTGCTCACGTGTTCTACGGAAAAAATTATTTTCCAACAGGACAACGACCCAAAAACATCGTTCAAAGCATTCACAGGCTCTGGTTTCGGACCCAAAATATGACATTATTAGATTGGCCAAGCTATAGCCCTGGCCTAAATCCAATAGAACATGTTTGGGGACTTATGAAGGAAAGTGTCAATAAGAAAAATCTGAGAAATATTGCTGAAATGAAAGAAGAGGTGGTCCGATATTGGGACAGCATAGACCATGGTTTTCTAACTTCTTTGATCAGTATGCCCCCGGCATTGTTACCAGGCATTGCTGCCCATGGTGACTTGACGAAATACTAACTGTTCATTGAATCTGGAGTTATATTCGGCGTTGTTACCAGGCAGGTGAGTTGTAGTGAGTGAGATTGGGTTATCGTGTTTTCAACAGTATATCAGTTATATCCCGGCGTTGTTACCGGGCAGGTAAGTGAGTGAGATTGGGTTATCGTTGTTTTCAACATTATATCAGTTATATCCCGGCGTTGTTACCAGGCAGGTGAGTTTGTGAGTGAGATTGGGTTATCGTGTTTTCAACAGTATATCAGTTATATCCCGGCGTTGTTACCGGGCAGGTAAGTGAGTGAGATTGGGTTATTGTTGTTTTCAACAGTATATCAGTTATATCCCGGCGTTGTTACCGGGCAGGTGAGTTTTGTGAGATTGGGTTATCGTTGTTTTCAACAGTATATCAGTTATATCCTGGCGTTGTTACTGGGCAGGTGAGTGAGTGAGATTGGGTTATCGTTGTTTTCAACAGTATATCAGTTATATCCCGGCATTGTTACCAGGCAGGTAAGTGAGTGAGATTGGATTAACGTGGTTTTCAACAGTATATAAGTTATATCCCGGCGTTGTTACCGGGCAGGTGAGTTTGTGAGTGAGATTGGGTTATCGTGGCTTTCAACAGTATATCAGTTATATCCCAGCGTTGTTACCGGGTAGGTGAGTGAGTGAGATTGGGTTATCGTTGTTTTCAACAGTATATCAGTTACATCCCAGCGTTGTTACCGGGCCGGTGAGCGAGCGAGATTGGGTTATCGTTGTTTTCAACAGTACATCAGTCACATCCCGGCGTTGTTACCGGGCAGGTGAGTTTGTGAGTGAGATTGGGTTATTGTTGTTTTCAACAGTATATCAGTTATATCCCGGCGTTGTTACCGGGCAGGTAAGTGAGTGAGATTGGGTTAACGTGGCTTTCAACAGTATATCAGTTACATCCCGGCGTTGTTACCAGGCAGGTGAGTTTGTGAGATTGCGTTAACGTGGCTTTCAACAGTATATCAGTTATATCCCGGCGTTGTTACCGGGCAGGTGAGTTTGTGAGATTGCGTTAACGTGGCTTTCAATAGTATATCAGTTATATCCCGGCGTTGTTACCGGGCAGGTGAGTGAGTGAGATTGGGTTATCGCGGCTTTCAACAGTATATCAGTTATATCCCGGCGTTGGTACCACCTAGATGACTGGATGAGTTACAAAGAATAGAATATTCTTTTCAGTAAACCATACGCCTCCATTCAATATCCTCGAAAAAAAATAACAATAATTGTAGCTGATGTTCTCACGTAAATATCTCTACACCAGAGGAAACCTAAACCAGAGGAAGGCTGATTCTGAGGAAGGCTGTCCTGTAACGCAGCAGTAAATTATTGCTGGAGAACAGAACTTTGGGGACCAACATCTACATATTGCCTGTTCTGGCTGTTTGTCTCAACTCTTGTATGCTGGCATTGCTATTGTTTGTCAGTAAGCTAAAACAAAAACAGCGATGACGCTGAATTGACAAATTGACTGATACAACTACATCTGGTGAGTAAATTCAGTGGAATATCGCGAACGCATAGTCTCCCTTACGCTTACACATATTACTGATAAGTTGTTGAAAGTAGCATTAATGAAAACCCACGTTCGCGCACACTAAGCTAGATATAGATGATATTGGATGTTATTACTCGCCCGTGGAAGATACTGCAGTGTAATATTTTTCGCTCGTTTGATACCGAATCATTAACTCGTTTTAATAAAAATGGGAGGTCGTTTAGTATCCTCTATGTTTCTAATGCAAGACGATCGGCCCCCTTGTACTAACAACATGACGTCATTTCACGACCCTTTCACATCAGTGTTACTACTGGCGGTCATACAAAACACCGCAATTACCTTATACATGTACTTGTGGAAACTCGTACTGATAAATACGTTACGGTCTCATCAGACAAGTGTACATCTTTGCATGAATAGAATGTTTGTGTAAAGGAATAAGAAATGATACATATTTTTTTTAAAGATTTACCCATGCTTTATAGATATATACTCTCCCAAAAAAGAAACGCATATAGGAATTTCAACTGTATTTTTATGTTTATTTTGAAACATCTTGTAGGCTTTATGAGTCAATGAAATATAGCGAAATTGCACACTGGGAATGCAGACTTATCCGTCTTTGGCAGCAACTCGAGGAAAGTCAGTTTGAGTGTCACGTGGAGACGTGTGGTGGCGCTGAAGGCAATACCTCGTGTGACCACCGTGGGCATCAAGAACTGCACGGCATCGCCTCGGCATCGAACGAATAGATCTCAGAATCTCGTGTTGCCCAATCGCAGCCCAGTCTGCCTGTAGTGGTTGTGCGAGTTGCTGAAGTGTCTTGGGCTGAGGGTTACGGCGTCGCACCCGCCTGTCCAGGGCATCCCACAGATGTTCGATCGGATTTAAGTCCGGTGATCTTCAGGGCCAGGGGAGCACATTGATGTTGTGGTTCTGGAGGAAGTCTCTAGTGTGACGTGCTGTGTGGGGCCTGGCATTGTCCTGTTGAAACAACTCCCTCTGGCGATCAATGATTGGAAGGAGGTGTGGGCGTAGGATTTCGTCACAGTACCGTTGAGCTGTCAGGTTGCCCTGGATCATCACCAAATCACTTCTCCTACGGCAGGTGATCGTTCCCCACATCATAACACTTCCCCGGCCGAATCTGTCCACCTAGGGAACGCAAGCGTCGGCGAAACGTTCACGTCGACGTCTGTACACCCGCATTCTTCCATCGCGTCGTTCCAATAGAAATCGTGATTCATCACTGAACCAGATTCTACGCCAGTTCGGTAGGTTCAAGGCCTGAACGTTGGTGCACCATTGAACTCGATGTCGACGATGTTGTTGTCGAAGCACAGGGCCAAAATAAGGTCTTCTGGCACGTAAACCAGCATCTCTCAACCTGTTCCTGACGGTCTGTGCAGAAAGCCTCCTCAATCCGGGTATTTGTCGAGCGGTACTGGTCGCCGTAGCTGTTCGATGACGCAGGTGATGTACCTGGATGTAGCGATCCTGCGCCGCAGTGGTCGCTCGAGGTCGCCCACTAAGAGGGGCATCTGCTACCGCATTCTGCCGGCGATATCTCTCCCAGGGCGGTGAAATGGTGCTTTGGTGAACATTCATGCGTCAGGCAACTGCACGTTGAGACTGGCCAGCTTCAAGCAAACCAATGGCGATATGACGGTTGGCATCACTTTGACGTGGCATTTTGCGTTCGTCAACAATATTCCAAATACAGTGACTAATCGACAGACATCGATCAACCTTTTATACCCATCATTGAGACTATCTGATCCCCAACTTTCACGTGCATCGCATGTGAATTGTGTATTCTGTGACACTACACGCCGCAATTGAAAATCAAGCTGTTAAATACGGGTATTTTACGGATGGTGCGTTTTGTTGTGATGTTTCAAAACATAAACACCATAGGACTCCTAAACAGAGCAAAACCTTTTGTAAAATGAATCACGTTTTAATTCATTGCTACATGAAATTGCTATTTTCATGATGCGTTTCTTTTTGGAGAGAGAGTATATTTTAATGTACAGTTACTCTTTCCCGTGGTGACTGTAACACCTTCAGTCTGGTAGGTTACTTATTTAAGAGGCTAAATTCATATGTGTTTTTATGGAGTTTTCGTGTCTATATCAGACAGTTATATCCGGCGCCGCAGGTTGAAAATCCCCCGTCCGTTAGGTGGGTTCAAATCATAGACCCACCCTAGGTTTCTCCATACCCTTGCTTGTGGGGTCAACAGAGCGATTAACTTCGAAAACCTGCATTAATGGTTTTCCTTCCACATGAAGTTGACATACCGCGAGACAACGTTAAATACTGCTCAAGCTGCGTCAAACTCACTCACTGTAAATGCGATGGGGTAGCCTAGTGGTTAAAGGTCACATGCAACGTAAAACACAACTTTGCAGATTCTGATACCCTTCGGTATGGACTTACAGATAGAAATCATCAAAAATGCAAATTCAACTTATAAAGTTGAAAAATAACGCGATGAAAAATACCCCGCGAAATCGGAGTTCAAACGATTCACTAAATTCACCCCAGCGCTTGGGGTGAAAAGTGGTTTCAACAGCTGTGCTGCGCTCATAGCACATGCACAGTGAAATAGGTTCGCGCAGCTTGGAAGCGGGATGTCCGGATTATAAGTTCGTGAGCAGGAGTAGTCTAATCAAAACAAATAGTAAATAATCTACTCATTACATAAAAGGATCTAGATCTACTCAGCTATGTGTCAACCAGTGAGGCGTTCGACATTTCAAGACGGAAAACCTTCGCTGGCGGTGAATACTCGGTGAAGGCTTTGATGTGAGCTAGTTTTCTAATGTTTTGTTGATATTTCACAGGCGCGAGGTATTTATATGTTATGACAGTAGATTGAACTGTTTATATATTTTTCATTTGTCTATTTCACCACACATTCTTCTTACCGAGTCACTTTCTCAGTTCGATACTTAAAAGCAATGTCATTATTTAGCGTTCACAGAATTTCTAACTGTGATATAGATATGTCGTTGTCACAGACAAAACTCAATGTCTGTTTTATTGACACCTATATGTGTCTGCCTGCCTGTCTGCTAATGACAATATTCAATACACAACTTCGATCACTGACCACATGCAATTTGAAATTAACACCTATCAGGCTATACGCCATAAACGCATTGATTTATGGCCCGAGTCCGGTCTCTGTCACATTATGTAATTACACAGACAGGCAGGTGTGATACTTGAACACATGGCATGTTATGATGTCTGTTGACTGCAAAATTTTATACAAAAAAAATGAGCATGTATTTACAAAACCCAACATCTCTATATATATACACACACACACACACACACAATGAGCCGTGGGGGCATCTGCAAATGAACCAGCCGTTACACTTGAGTGCACACCCACCCGCTCTGACTGGGTTCGGTATCCCGGGTGCTTCGTTTGGAGGGAAGTAAACCCAAATACACAATATTGCACTTTTGATTCGCAATTGTACGCTTATAATTTTGTTTATATGTGTTTTCATAACCAGCAATGTATATTATATGTCATGAATAAATGATAATTGTGTTTTAATTATGTTTGAATTTTTGGTTGCATGTGCCCTTTAAAGCGTTCGCTCCTCACGCCGAAGACCCAGGTTCGATTCCCCACATGGGTAGTATGGGTACAATGTGTGAAGCCCATTTCTTGTGCCCCCTGCTGTGATATTGCTGGTACATTGCTACCAGCGGCGTAAAACCAAATTCACTCAGTCACTGTAAAATATTTGAAGAACATTAGTGTATAAATATATTTCTCTCGATCGACATGTACGTGCATGATGATACATCCCCTTCAGCATAATCATGATACTGCAATCTACGTTTATTACAAACACTCTTATAACGAACTGATTGATGTATCGAACTGTTCTCTTTTGTCAGTGCCATTTGCTGTATATTATAGTTGATATGCGCATAACAAACTACGGCAATAACGAACTACGGTTATAACGAACTACGGCAATAACGAACTACGGTTATAACGAACTACGGCAATAACGAACTACGGTTATAACGAACTGCGGCAATAACGAACTACGGCAATAACGAACTACAATTATAAGTCCCTTTGAGTTCGTTATAACCGTAGTTTACGGTAAGTGTTTTGTCACTGTTCGGGTCCTCACTCACACTTTTGAATCCAGGTGGATATGGCGGACCGTCTGAAGATTTTGATGAACCACGTGACCCACTCAAGGCCATCTAAGACTCTTGTATCCTTTTGTATGGTAATAGTGTTTAAACTAGTGGCGCTAATTTAACGGGGTAAGATCGTTCTGTTCAATCATTGCGTTTTAATCATTCAATTCCCATAGGCGCATGACTCAATTCATTGTTAGTTGCGTCCCTCTACTAAGCCAGGATCATAATCGTTTGTTCTAATCCCAGATTCTGCCAGTTAATTATATTTGGTTTGTCATCGCCAAAACCCTGCTCATGGGATTCACCAAGCATCTAAACTCTGCATCAGGTCAGGCTTTCTTCTAGACATGCGGTGGCGTAGCATAGCGGTTAAAGCGTTCGCTCGTCAGATCAAAGACCTGGGTTCAATTCCCCAGATCGGTACAATGTGTGGAGCCTATTTTTCGTGTCGCCCGCCGTGATATTGCTAAAAGCTGCGTTAAACTAAACTGGTCCATTCAGTCCTTCTACACATACATTAAGCTGACACGCTGATTTCACTGAAGTACTGTTAAAGCAGCCCAAAACCAACCTATCTCACTCATACATGGAATTATTACATATCTGGTGTTACTGAAAATTGGATACCTGAACATCTGGAGCAGTTTGAACCGGCGTCCCAGACCCAGGTTGATAGCGGACAGGGGAGTGGCTTCACGTACAGCCTGGACAGCCCCAGATTGACGCTAGAACAGAGGCGGTTCTACGAGGAGAATGGGTACCTGGTCATCAAGAAGCTGGTGGCGCAGGAGCATATTGACAAGTACAGGTAAACAGATGCAGGTGATGGTTTATATCGCGGTACCTCCTCACGAAGACTCTCATTGATTTCCCATGCTTTTAATCATTGGTTATTCTGGTCCAGATTTATCAGTAAATGATATATACTTTGTTTCATTAGGATGTATTGACAAATATAGTCAAACAGAGACAGGTGGTGGGTTAAATCGTGGTTGCTCTGACAGCATTATTGCAAGGTTGTACGCCGTCAGGGCTCACTGCAGCATTTTGGTTGCTGCGAGCTCTAAAGACGATTCTCCAATTCCACCTTGCGTCTTTTTTGTGTATTAGTAGAGAAGAAACTCAAAGGCTCAAGTGTGGAGAGAATTGTTGAACTGGACATTGGAAAATAGGTTTATGGAGATAATGACAGTTTTACAGGAACAGGTGTATGGAGATAATGGCTGTTTTACAGAAACAGGTTTATGGAGATAATGGCTGTTTTACAGGAACAGGTGTATGGAGATAATGGCTGTTTTAAAGGAATAGTTCTTTGGAGAAAATGGCTGTTTCACAGGAACATGTTTTCTGAGATAATGGCTGTTTTAAAGGAACAGGTTTGTTTAGATAATGACTGTTTCACAGGACAGGTTTACTGAGATAATGGCTGTTTTAAAGGAACAGGTTTGTTTAGATAATGACTGTTTCACAGGACAGGTTTACTGAGATAATGGCTGTTTTAAAGGAACAGGTTTGTTTAGATAATGACTGTTTCACAGGACAGGTTTACTGAGATAATGGCTGTTTTAAAGGAACAGGTTTGTTTAGATAATGACTGTTTCACAGGACAGGTTTACTGAGATAATGGCTGTTTTAAAGGAACAGGTTTGTTTAGATAATGGCTGTTTCACAGGAACAGGTTTGTTTAGATAATGGCTGTTTCACAGGACAGGTTTACTGAGATAATGGCTGTTTTAAAGGAACAGGTTTGTTTAGATAATGACAGTTTCACAGGAACAGGTTTGTTTAGATAATGGCTGTTTCACAGGACAGGTTTACTGAGATAATGGCTGTTTTAAAGGAACAGGTTTGTTTAGATAATGACTGTTTCACAGGACAGGTTTACTCAGATAATGGCTGTTTTAAAGGAACAGGTTTGTTTAGATAATGACTGTTTCACAGGACAGCTTTACTGAGATAATGGCTGTTTTAAAGGAACAGGTTTACTGCGATAATGGCTGTTTTAAAGGAACATGTTTACTGAGATAATGGCTGTTTTAAAGGAACAGGTTTGTTTGGATAATGACTGTTTCACAGGACAGGTTTACTGAGATAATCACTGTTTCACAGGACAGGTTTACTGAGATAATGGCTGTTTTAAAGGAACATGTTTACTGAGATAATGGCTGTTTTAAAGGAACATGTTTACTGAGATAATGGCTGTTTTAAAGGAACAGGTTTGTTTAGATAATGACTGTTTCACAGGAACATGTTTACTGAGATAATGACTGTTTCACAGGAACAGGTTTTTGGACATATGCAACAACAAGGTGAGCGTGCCTGGCATATCCATCATGCGCGATGTGAGCATCGCCAGGTCGGACTTCATACCCGGCGAACGGACCATAACGAAGATTCAAGACTTCCACGCCGATAAGGTGCTGTTCAGCTACTGCCATCTGCCTGAGGTAAATGACAACAATTTAGTCTTACGTGTGTTACATGTCATAAGTTCAGTGTGTAAAGGCAATTTCTCGTGTCCTATTCCCTGGATCCTCCGTTTTGTAAAGTCAAGGGTCAAGGTAAAACCCTGGTCATGTGACATGTACGGGTCAAGGTAAAACACTGGTCATGTGACATGTACGAGTCAAGGTAAAACACTGGTCATGTGACATCTGCAAGAACATGGGGAGGGGCATCACACTTTAGTACAACATATAAACATAACGTTTCAAAGCATTTTCCTCTTGGGGATTTCGGGGAAGAATGTTTCCCGGGACCCTGTTTCCCAAATAACCCATAGCAACTGGAGGATTAAATGTGCCGTGCTGTCAGGCCCGGTGACTTGATCCAGTACTGACCGTATCCCCGTGATATAGAACGTTGCTGAAAAGACTGGTTTGTCTGGTCCAGACCTCCATAAAACACCTGGAACATTGCTGCGTTAAATATGAAAGCCAAATGTGAAAGGACTTGTTTGGACGGAGTTAACAGTGTAATGGTGGTGTTTACCGCAGGTTTTGGACTACGTGGAGTGTTTCACCGGCCCTGACATCTTGGCTCTACACGCAATGTTCATCAACAAGCAACCTGACCCGGGTAGGTACAGCTGGAGCAATAGTAACCCTATTTTCTAATAGGTAATGATAAGGACCGTTCATAATTTATGGCGTGTGTGTGTGTGTGTTTTCAATGACCCCCTCCCCCCTTCCCATATTACAAAATTGCTGCCCCAGAACAAAATGGGTGGGGACCCCACTCCCCCTCCCTCCTTTGTTAAAATCATCACCACCCCTAGTCATAAATTATGAACCTAACGGTCACATGCGGGTTGGCTGCACTCAGCTATAATCCAATACAATATATATTACGCTAAAGAGATTAAAGGCACAATGTCACACATTTTGGACAACATTTTGGCCTATATTTTATATACTGGGGCATACGCACTCACTTTAGCTTCCTATTAATGCAATAAAAGACTTATTATCCCTTACGACCTGCCTGAAATAGATAACTGAAGCTTCAAGGCGAACAACTCCGAAACAGACAACACTTGCCATATATGGAATGTGTTCCGTTCATCGAAAACTGTCGCACTCGTTGTTGTCCGTGTTTGCCGAACTGGTTTCAATCACAGGTTGTGCGTAGGATATTCGTAAAGAGCGCCCCAAGGGACATAACTCTATGGGGTTCGCATGAAATAATGTTCAGCCGGTAGAGGGAGCGAGTGTCGATTTAATGCAACGTTGCATTAATTCATTCGAACATTTTAATTTAATATTTAATCTAAACACGTAATTGTTTTTAAAGAAACTCTATGGTAGCTTCCCCGAGGGCCTGATAGTTAGTATTATTGAGAGAAATGCTTTAAAGAAATGTGGTGTGACAGTGTGCCTTTAAGGACATGTCATCTAGAAATGACACAGAGGGATACTGGTTAGAGCAAACATAACTGAAGATGTGACAGTATAACGCACTGTAATCCAGACTAAAGTAAGGCCAGAAATGATTGGAAAATGCTTTTTGGCTTCAATATCAATATGATGAATTTGACACAAGATAAAAGCACATATATGATATGATACAAATTGGGATTGAGTGGTCACAAGGTGTGACTAAAAGTCTGCCAACGACCCCAACAGCATGGGTCACAGCGCACACTATCAACCACTGGTTTTCCTGGCCTAGACTCGATCAGTTCCAGACCGCGCGATTCAACAGAGATATTACTGGCTGTATACTGTTATTGACTTGCACGTTTATTTTCTAGAGGGGCGGTGGGGTAGCCTTGTGGTTAAAGCGTTGGCTCGTCACGCTGAAGACCCGGGTTCGAATCCCCACATGGGTACATTCTGTGAAGCCCATTTCTGGTGTCCCCCGCCGTGATGTTGCTGGAATATTGCTAAAAGCGGCGTAAAACCAAACTAACTCACTCAGTTATTTCCTAGGAAAGGGTTCGTCCCGCCATCCAATGCACCAAGACTTGATCTACTTCCCCGTCCGACCAGCTGACCGGGTCGTGTGTGCCTGGACTGCGGTGCAGCCTGTAAACAGACAAAATGGCTGCCTTGTCGTTCTACCTGGCAGCCACAAGGGGGAGCTACGGAGTCATGGCCTTCCCGAGTGGGAGGTATGTCGTCTGCTATGCATTTCTCCAAAAGAACTATTTCAGAAAATCTCTGTCACCAAGTCCATTTTGTAATTTACACAGTCCCTAACATATAAATATCATTTAGTATCAGAACTGGAAAGTATTTATGCAACTGACATTAAAGCTAAACGGTTCATTCATCTTGATTGATCGAATCTTGTGAATGCACTTCGGACTCCACATTTTAAGGCCATTGTATTGTATGTTACATGGCGCCGGTTCAAGGATATACTGGCAAATTTAATCCAAGCCTCGATCATACAGTTCATTTTTATACGTTTAATATAGTAAATACCTTTGACCATTCCAACACTAGCTATTTGAAATGACGCTGTTGTTTCTTCTCAGTAACTCCTCAGAATTGCTCCCGCACACAAGCAAAATTTGACTTCAAATTTTAACGTCTTGTGCTACGACTGTTGTACCTCCTATAGTGTAACATAGACTTACGACAGTCGTAGCGCTACGATAGCTTTGTGAAACGGGACCGTGCCTTCTTCAGATGTAATTGGTTCGGTGGTGTTCCCAAGTGGTTTAAGCGTTGGCTAGACACACCGAAGCATCGAGGCCTCTTGTTTCCACGTTGGTACAGCGTAAAACCCGATTACTGGTTTCCCATATGTAATATTACAGTTGAATGTTAAACTTTCGATGTGAATTTAGAAGTTGGGAACTTATACAAAAACATGAAACGTTTATAGATAACAACTTCTCTATTATTTGCATCAGCCCGGGTTCGATTCCCCACAAGGGTACAATGTGTGAAGCCCATTTCTGCTTTCCCTTTAGTTATATTGCTGCAATATTATAAAAGCCTCATAAAATTTCTATCACTCAGTCGGATTACCACGAGAGATGCTGGAATATTACTAAAAGCGGGGACAACCCCAACTTACTCATACACTTTTTTAAAAGTAAACTATGTTGTTCACGCTAAATTCAAAATCTACCTGTCCGTTATGTTTGGACAGTTTTTCCTACGCAACAGAGACAAAAATGTGACGTTTTGTGAGATAAATAGAGACGTTGTCATTATGCAGGGAGGTGTCAACGTCGCCTACTTCGGTGTGAGGGACTACGACCCCAGCACCCCTAGGGTACACCTGGAGATGGACGCGGGGGACACGGTGTTCTTCCACCCCCTGCTGATCCACGGCTCCGGCACCAACAAGACGGAAGACTGCAGAAAGGTGGGAAATATTAAGATCCCATTGTCATTCGATCAGGTGACGAGAAACTGCTTTTCAAATTCAACATATCGTGATTTCTGGAACAGAACTAATGCCCAATATTCTATGCTGTTCATAAGAGCCACCTAATGCTTGGACAGGCCCGTGTTGCACTAAGAGACATTAACGCTACGATCGTACTACCCCTTAAGATCCGGGTTAGAATTGGTCTTCAGCAACCCATGCTTGTCCTAAGAAGCGACTAACGGGATCGGGTGGTCAGGCTCCTGACTTGGTTGACGCATATCATCGTATCGTAATTGCGTAGGTCGATGCTCATGTCGGTCACTGTATTATCTGGTCCACACTTGACCATTCAGAGATCACCATCATATAGCTGGGATATTGCTGAGTGCGGTGTGAGAAATCTCGGAGAACACTTCACAGTGTCTTTCTTCAAACCGCCTTCGTATTTGCATTTAGATTCATATAATCAGGTAGGTAATTCCACATTCTACACATCTGTGTAATTTTATAGCCGTATATATAGGTAGATCTAGTGAGTGAGTGAGTGAGTGAGTGAGTGAGTGAGTGAGTGAGTGAGTTTAGTTTTACGCCACACTCGGCAATATTCCAGATATATGGCGGCGGTCTGTCAATAAACGAGTCTGGACCAGACAATCTAGTGATCAACAGCATGAACATCGATCTGCGCAATAGGGATACGATGACATGTGTCAAACAAGTCATCGAGCCTGACCATCCGATCCCGTTTGTCGCCTCCTACGACAAGCATGAGTTACTGAAGATCAATTCTAACCCGGATCTTCGAGGGCCAGGTAGATCTAGCACCGCGTTGGAACACTTTTCAGGCCTTATAAACATGTACGTCAGCAAAATAAATCTACGGGTAAACAATCAAACAACAAAACGATGAACGAAAGTCTATTATAAGTGTGGGCGTTACGGCTGCCTTAGCGGTAATATCGCTTTGTGGGCCGGGCCCTAATAGTATGTCATTGTTTGGGGGTCGTTTCTGTTTGTTTGTTGTTTACGCCGCTCTCAGCAATATTCCAGCTATATGGCGGCGGTCTGTAAATAATCGAGTCTGGACCAGACAATCCAATGATTAACATCTGGGTTATTTCTCATGTTATCAGCTGTTGATGTAGCTGTTGACGACCGTATTAAGAAGAAGGTAATCGATGTCCCTTTTTTAAATGTTGTCAACGCGTATTGGTCTGGAAAATGTGGTGCAGTTCTGGCGACCGAATGGAATGTGATTTTTCACAATCAGGAATAATTTAGCTTTAATTTAAAGCCGGTTGTCATCAGCTACCATATGTGACTACAATATTTGACAACTTTAATGCTTGTAAACAAGTGCATTGGATATCTGCCACATTCACCATAAACCACTGCGTTAACTGTATTCAATTTAACACCAAGATATTTGTTACATGCATAGAAGTGTATTCTTTCTATTTGATAAAAGTCTACTAATACCCAGATTTCTGCTCCATACGTCAAAATTGGGTTTAGTTTTGCATCAAAGATCGTAAAAAAAGGTTAATATCTCCAAGTGTACTTATTGTTTTCATAATACCGATAAGTGCTTTTTGCGCTTAGAGCGAAGCATATTTGACGTGCATGGTCCAAGACAAACCGTTGGTAAAATACAATCCCAAATCTTTATGATAGCTAACACAGTCTAGATGTATACCCTTAAACAACCACTTTTCTTTTTTTAGAAAGTTTACCTCCCTTTTTGAAGACTACGATTTATGTTTTCTCTCTATGTACTGCTAATTTCCATTTATCGCAGTAATGTTCAAGTTCATTTATTTGATTTTGGAAGCCACTAACGGTGTTTGAAAACGTCATCTGCAAACAGCAGAAGGAAAATTATGACTATTTCTGTATGAAGTTGTATGCCACTTGAACAGTTAGTTTCGATTTGAACAGCAAGCTCATTGATGAAGAATGAGAACAGGAATGGACTAAGTATACATCCTTGCCGTACACCATGTTGTAATTCGAACGTTTCCGAAAATTCTTGATTATTTTTAACACATGCCTTCACGTTCTCATACATATTAGACAAAAGTTTACTCATTTGTAACTAAGACCATGACATTGAAATAGAGACCAAAGTTTGTTGCGTGGAACCAAGTCAAAGGCTTTCTCAAAATCTACAAATAAGGCATAGAACTTTCCTCCTTGAATTCAAATATCTTTGTATTACACTTTGTAAAATAAACATGTTGTCAACAGTGGTATATCCATGTCTAAATCCAGCTTGCGATTCATTTATCTTATCCATTGTATCTCCCCAGCTTACAAATCTCTTATTAACTATAAAAGTGGAAATTTTTTACTAAATATGATCCCGGCCCTGGCCACTTCCCTAGCGGGTGTGGTCTCTATCAGTGTGTCGCGATGACGATCTCAAAGCCCGTCTCGTGTCACCGTGGTCTAGGTCTCTGCTAGACTAATGCTTAGTCTCTGAATATATATTAGTTTGATAGTAACAAACAAGCCCATTCAAATTGAAAAGGAGCCCCAAGAAGACCAGAGAACCTGAGGAAATCTAGACTTGCTTTATTTAGGGCTTTAGCACTGCAGAGAGGGCTAGGCAGTAGGGAAAATAATGTGGTTCAGGGACTGTGAAACAGACTAGGTCTCCGTGAGTGTCAGATCTCGGTTGACTCCGAGTGTCCCCTGGTCTAGTCCGGTCCTCTTTAGGGTTCATCACACTCGGGAATGTTTCAGTATGTGTCAACCAGTTGTAAATGTTCCACTTTGGATCAGATATGTCAGTGATGGAAATGTTCAGCAATAACTGATGTAACTGATTTAGCATCCAGTGTTCTCACCGCTGGTACCTATGTCTGTCTCCACAGTCGATATCCTGCCACTTCGTCACGGGCGACATGACCTACGTTGACATTGACCCAAATGATCCTAACTACCACGTGGCCCAGACTACTCTCGGGGTTTTCCTGAAGAAGGCGGGAATAGATCGAGGCCTTATCTCACACCAGGTGAGTGAGTGAGTGAGTGAGTGAATTTCTGATACAATTATGTACACTGTGATCTTTATTGTTTTATTGATTTCTTAAACACCTTTAGAGATATCACGAAATATGTTCTTGATAGCTCTATAACATTTTGAGATTTCAGTAATTCTTTTGGATATCAGAAATTAATTAAAGATATCTTCATTTATTTACCGATATCATTAAAACATTATTGATATCTTTATATAGAATACAAATATCTTTAAAACAATTGAAGATATCTTTAGTTTCTTAATAAATACTTTATCCTTTGTATTATGTACCACAGTAGAATGGACACATCGTGCACTGGATAATGGGGATTGGGACTGGTTGGTTAAAGCTTGTGTGTTTTCTGTGCAGGATCTCTGGAGGTTCAAGGTTCGTGTTGTGCGAGGGAAGAATCACAACCGACGGGACATACAAGACGAGTTTCGACAGAGAATGGCACGTCAATAATCCTTGGTGCTTCCCCCACGACAATCCGCCTCGACTGAACCTCCTTGGTGCTTCCCCCACGACAATCTGCCTCGAGTCACCTTTCTTTGGGCCAATCTAAACCAGAATCAGCCTCCACTGTGACTTTGTTACGCTCGCCTACCGTGACAATCTGCCTCGACTGACCTTTCTTTGAGCCAATCTTTTGTTTGTTTGTTTGTCGGTTAGTTGTTTGTTTAACGCTGCACTCAACAATATTCCAGCTGTCTGATGGCGTCTATAAATAATCAAATCTGGACCGGACAATCAAGTGAGCAAGAGCACGATCAGAGATGCTGCAGATAATCTCATCCGGATCTTCGCAGGTGTTCGCCTCCACTGTGCCTTTGTTTTGCCATGAGAATGTTGATATTTTTTCACACTTCAGTTTTTGTGTTTATAGGTAATGCGTGCACAGATAACGTGTGAATAAAAAGTTGTAATCAGCTGTGTTATCTTGTCATTTATAATGAATATTATATTATTTTTAATTCTATATGCAAACTTCTTTTCACTTCGGTTTTTCGATTCCTTCCTCAGAGAACCAAAACAGATCAAAACTGTCAATCCTTAAATATATATATATTGGGAGTGATTTCCACGTGGCATTGCGCCAAGCTGTAGACAAATGTGCAAACTGAATGTACGGTACTGAATTCACTTCTTAACTGATTTACATGAAGTAGCATCTACACAGGGGGTAAGGAACCAAGGGGGGTGATGCTGATTTTATGCAGAAGCATGTACCCCCCATAAAATTTACGTGCAAAGTAAGTGACCCCCCTTTTCATACCATGTATGCACAAAACCAATGACCCGCCTCCCCCTTCCCATAATCTTTAAGCATAAGTTTTTAATTTTTGAATAATTTTATGTATAAAATTGCAAAAACGGTCCCTAAGCCTTATCCATGCTCAACCGGAAGTTGGTCGTCATCAACTACCATTTCCCCGAGACAGTCGTTCTCGGTAGAGATAGCTAAGATACATAGCGTTCACTGGTTCATGTCAGTGAACGCTATGTATCTTAGCTAGGTAGAGAGTGAGTCACAAACATCGTAAGCTTTGTTTGTTTTGACAGAAGCTAAAATCTTGACACAGCGGCTGCATAACCTCATTTAGCCTAAAAAACACACAATACGTGGAATGAATTCAATTAATAATGTTGTAAAGACGTCGAAAGTGGTCGATTTTTTTTATTTTCCGATTCGCGCCGAAAGACGTGTCAAGAAATGCTTCAAATGTAAATAAAATATAATGTGTCATCACAGGGGTTATAATCCATGACCATTCAGCTTATAAAACAAGTCGATTTCATAAACATATACTACTTGGAAATATCAAAATCCTACGATGTTTGGGACTCACTCTCTATCAGGATCGACTGTCTATCGGGGAAATGGTAGTTGATGACAACCAACTTCCGGTTGAGCACGGACAGGGCTTACCCCCTGTGATCTAGTCTCTGAAATATACACATTTTCGGTGAGAACAGTTTTGAAGTTATCTAAATAAAAAGAGTATAAGGGGCTTTATTATTTTCAGAACCAAGAGACTTTATTACGTTTTCAGAAACTTAACAACATCCCTTGAAATTAAGGCAAACTCCTTCACACATTCACAGGAATCGATTGTACAATTCCGTCAATATCATGAACATGGTTTATTAATCACTCTTAAATAGTTAAGATAAGAGGTGTTCACGAAAAGGTGAGCGTATCCTGCCCCACCGACGGCACTCATCATAACATTTAAACACATGCAAGGGCTAGTCAATTGCTCTTGAATTGCATGTTTTAGGGTGTATATACTGACTATGCAGGTGATCGGAAAGAAAGTCACAGGAAAAAAAGATCACGGATAAAAAGTCACAATTTTGGCCAGGAAAAAAAAGTGACAATAACTGTTTATTATCTGTTTAATATGTTTAATTCCGATCATAAATCACAGGATCAATCATAAATCACAGTTCCTCACAGACGATCAATCATGAATCACAGTTACTAATCACAGCTCCTCACAAAGGATCAATCAACATTCTTTGTTTCATCGAATGTTCCACCCAACCCCACACAGGAACTATGGGATTGATTTGCACTTATTAACCCGATCCCTGCATAAGTTCTGAAGATGTCGCTGGAATCTGGTGTATTTGGTCTTTACCTTCTTGGGGGAATTGTCTACAGCGTCTTGAGGAATCATGGTTCTCACTGTAGCCTGTTCTTCTTGAACCATTCTACATCTCTCCACAGAGGAGGCTGGTTCTGAGCAACCAGCCTACACTAATGTTATTGGTGCGAGGATCACCTTTCACTGTATCGTCCTGGACATTCCAGAGCTGTGGAGGAAACATGGGGGGATCTCGTCTCATGTTGACGGATAGACCTTGACCAGGACGTTGGCGGGAGGATCCACTGACGTACACCCGGTCAAAGTACGTCACCAGCTCGTCGATAGCTTCAGGTCCTTCATGTTTGATGGAGCACAGGTTCCATGCCCTCTTTCACTTGATCTATCGGAAGGAATGCGGTCATTGTGATCATCTCAATCTCGGCGTAGCCTGTAGAGTGTGGCTGTCCAATCTCAGGATTTACTTTGTTAATGTTGGTGCTCAGGCTTCCTCTGCATGACATACTGGACCTCTTTGTACATTTCCTCCAGATTTTGTTCTTACGACCTGTATGCTTACGGTACATGTGTCCTTCAAATACTATTTTCAAACCGCCTTTGTTGCTCTTAAAATAATCCATGATGCAAACGTGAAAGGACGTGGCTACAAACATACATACTTATACCACGTTCTTCCTTCTAACATTAGTTGGAGAAGGAAACAGAATTATATACAAATACTCCGCCAGTAGTAAAAGATCTAATGTTATCATGTCAGAAACAGACTGACTGACTGACTGAGTTTGGTTTACGCCGCTTTTAGCAATATTCCAGCAACATCACGGCGGGGGACACCAGAAATGGGCTTCACACATTGTGCCCATGTGGGGATTCGAACCCGGGTCTTCGGCGTGACGAGCCAACGCTTTAACCATTAGGCTACCCCACCGCCCTGTCAGAAACAGAAGCTGTTATAACAATTGAGATATTTTACAACCCACTAGTATATATTATATTACTAGTAAATATATTATTGAATTGTGACTTTTTTCCTGTGACATTTTGCTATGAGAACAATGTCTTTTAATCCGGACGTAGCTGACTAAAATAACAGTCCGTTCAATAAACATCTCTGTTCCTGTTGTTTCCTATGTCAGTTTACTCAGTATTGGTTTACAGTCTTATTAATGACAGATTACTTGCTTGTTTCACATTCAATTCATAGTTATGGCAGACCGACCAGCGAAACGTAGGCGGACTGATTTGTCACTTGCTGACAAAGTGAAACTTATTGACGAGCCAGAGAAGTCTAAACAGAAACAGCTCGCTGAGAAGTACAAGATAAGCAAACAGAGTGTATCAGATATTTTGAAGTGAAGTGAATCTTACCGTTAACAGACTTTTTCCCACTGAAAGTATAAATGATATATTGAGTATAAATAAAAAACAAAACAGAACTATTCAAGTTGTTGGTTGTCCTTAACAAAGGGAGGTAACTCATCGTGGCAGTGTGTAAGGTAACGGACAAAACTTGTTTAATCTGGACTGCTTTACAATCCGGACAAATGAGTCGGTCCTAGGCCAGTCCGTAATAGACAGATTCCACTATATTGATAAGCCGAATGACACGATTTTAATGGAATGGAAAAAGAATATATACTTATCGGGTAAAGTATTGCGCTGTCATGACTTGTTAGGGAGGACTGTCATGGCTCTTGTCGACTTTAACTAGACTGTCGAAGAACTTTAGAGAAGGATATGATATTTGTAGTCATCCAAACGATTCTCCAAATTGCATTTTCACTTTCACTGGATGGACTGCTATGCTTTCTGTATAAACAAGAGAAAGGTTCTGTAGCGACGCTGCGTGATTATGCCAATTAATATGCCGTTGTTCTTTTTATCAGACCCGTCTCAAAATGGCTGTATTGGGTGTGTTTTCACTTGCTGATCAATATAACACGGCTATGATCAGAGGCAATATATCTACACTCTGTACTGTCATTTAGGGTGCATTTATTCAAATATAAGTGGTAATGATCGCTTTGTAAAACTCGACAATTTCCCTAAAAAAACAAGCATATATAGAGAATACTTAACGATGTCCCGTGTAATACCATATCTGTGAAACGAGTGAACGGTTTGGTATCTAACGAGCGAAAGCGAGTTAGATACCAATACCATTCACGAGTTTCATAAATATGGTATTACACGGGACATAGTGTAGTATTTTATTTATTACTCACCCAACATTAGCAAAATAATATCGAGCGAAGTACTTCTTTCCTAAGAATAGACCGATCCAGTCCCGGCCGATAAGCCCACTTCGTTTTTTGACGTTAGGGGGGACAACCACAGACTAATCACAATGGCGTCACCGCCGGCGAAACGTGCGTGACTGCGAACGTTGTTGATGAATTCTGCTTACAGTGGTACTTTGGTATCCGTCATTTGTGAATGATATTTAAAGAGGTTATACGTATGTTATTTTTTATATATTTTATTTGGCAGATTGCAATTGGCGAGTGAAAAATCGTCTCGGCCAGCTGCTGAGAGTAGGAAGCGTATTTTCATTCGAATCAATTAATCTATCTGGCTATTCACCTCCGTCAAAGATATAAGCAGGGGAGGGTAAATGAATTTTGCTGTTTGGTGGGTTTTTAAAAAAATTCCCATCATAATTTTATAAAAACCGAGAAGACAACCACATGTTTATGTTGCAGATCGTCTCGGTATCTATAAAAAAGATTGTCAACGCTGCGCGCGGCGCCTTTACGTATTTATTCGTTGTTCAAATTTAGTTAAATCAATAATCTGAAAACATGGGTTTCTATATTTTAATTAATTAAAAGAATGGTAAATAAAAACAAAACAAAATATTTCCCGTCTACTACTTCGTGCACCTTATTTGTCTGTATACATTAATATATATTAATGTAAACAAATCAATCACAGCATAACTTATTTGATCTTATTTGGAAATCTGGAAAATGTGATTGGGCTTGTAAACAGTATGTTTCCTTGGATGTACCTGGACCAAATATTCAGCAGCTGATCTGCAGCAATTCTCAGTAAAGTTTCCCTCTTCAAAATCAGTACACCATCCTCAAATGACACTGAATATGAGGACAAAATCCATTTTTTAATCATCCTTTCCAATTTATTTTTCTGTATTATATGTACTTTGTTGTGGAATCCTTATTTACATACAAATTTCCACAATACTGGACTTCATAAACTGCCAGCGTTTATGCACAGGTATGTCACAGCACCAGAACACAAAGAAGATTCAGTCAGCACCTGTACACTGACCCATCTTCCAGAAACAGGAAACCAGTGA